TACCGATCAAACCGCCTCTTATATTTACTATTGATGTGAAATATCTAACGGTCAGACCAACTAATGTAGTCGCGATGCGTCGCCATGGCATTTGTAGCTATGCTATATGATATATTTAACATCTAATGCCGTGTAGCAACACGTCGCCATGCGCAAGTGTCCCTGCTCATTATTGTCTACAAAGTAATTTCCGACGACTCAATTTTTATTTATACACATAGGAAAAGTCTTGCCAGCGAAGGCGCGGGCACGACTTATATTCTATTCCACATTTTACGTTTTTTATGGAATAGCAAAGCAATAATTATATTGTATAGCAGTCAAAATACCAACTTAATGAACACATGTATCACCACCATCTTAAAGGTTACCTACTTTTAAATACCTATTATTTTTAAAAGTGGAAATAATGAACTAATAAATAAACTTGTTTTGTTGTTACATATGGCAGCCGAATGACTCACTGTTAATAAAATTATATTCCAAGGTCACCTATGGTGTGTACGTGAAATGCTAATTATGACATCCAAACAGTTATTCATGTTTTTTGTCAATATTTATTCATTCAATGTATAAATCCATAGAATGACGTAAATTATATTTTTTACATAATAAAAGGTTGGTATCATTATTTTTATATTTTTCTGTGTTGCTAAATAAAAAACACCTCAAAGACTCTCTTTTACCAGAATCACATGCCACGAAAAAAATGGAATTTACGTTGAGCTGAGCTGAGATTTTATTTCTTTTAAAAAGTATGTTTTAAATAATAAATAATTAACATCGAAAATACTACTAAGATCTCAATCAAGAAATATATTTTCTACGCCTTGTAAAAAGAGGAGCAGAGAAATGAAGATTATTTTAATGAATCGAGTTAAATATTATTCTCAGCTTTTTTAAAATCCATTAAAAAAAATAGCTATTTACTAAACTAAACTAAACTTTATTCATATTATAAAAAAGTTGATATATTTAGTGAATTAATATCTTGGTGAAGATGTGTTTTATATAAAGCGAAACGTAGGTAATTTTTACTTATAACATAATGCATTTAAAGTTTTTTTAATTTTACTTCAAAATTCAGATTCCCATTTTGTTGGGTAATAATTATCACCTGCCCACACTGTTTTCCTACAGTTGATCACGTTTACAATGTCAAAAAAAATATTGTCTGTCATGTCACCACAGGCTGTCAGTTTATGCCCGTACTAAATAAAAATATAATTAGGCCGCAACACGCTGCCATGCACAAAATCAAGACTTTCAGGTAAATAATACCCATTTTTATTAATTACAACTTCTTTCTACAGACAATAACACATTTTTTTTGTAATGCTATGTCACTATAACCTATAAAAACTTGGCGTTTTATTTTATCATGTTTTATTGTTATGCGTAGAATTTATAACGGTATTCTATTTATAACTGAATTATAATAGGTTTACGATTGGCAGGGATGTTTTATTTGTGTTTATTTTACTCTAAACGGTATTATTATTATTGATGTATGGGTATAAGATATGTGATTCATTTTACGTAAACATCATTGTAATGTGGCGATGATCTCTCGTGCGTAGAGAGGAAAAATGTATTTATATTTACTATGGTGTATTATTTTTAAATTAATAATGCATCTGATGTAAAATTGTAATATTACTCTATATTAGGTCAACATTGATATTTCATATGGCATGTTCATGAAATTGGTACATTTTATAAAGTTTTAATTTAAAATAAAAAATTAGGAATAAAAGATAGCTTCAGCAGTAGGTTGCTAATTGGATAGGTTTTTTTTTAATGGGATTTTTATAGGGTTTGTTGTTAAATTAAAAAAAAAAACTATAATTGATAGCTCCATTAAAAATGTTTCATTGAAATGTAATGACCATTATAAATTACTATGTTATTATCACATTTAAAATCAATTAATGTTTCTTAAATATATCAGTGTAGGGTAATAATAATGTTAATAACAAAAAGTTATAAAACTGGTCATAGTTTTGCTTTTTTTATGGTATTAGGGGTCAAACGAGCAGACGGGTCACCTGATGGTAAGCAACTACCGCTGCCCATGGACACCTGCAACTTTAAAGTTGTTGCGTGCGTGCGTTGCTGCCCTTGGAGTCCCTCCCGCTCGAGTCAGCGGGAGGGGGATTTGGGCTCCGGTAACCTCACTCACTCAGTGAAAGGCAACGAAAGAATTGCTTAACACCAGTTTTCTGTGAGGCTGTAGCCGTTTTTTGCTTTTTAAGAGCCTCTTTCTAATGATATACAGAAATTAAATATTACAGAAAGATATTCATATTATAGTCAAAATGTCAGTATATACTTACACCTCAAGTAAAAGTAGGAAATACTTTTGTGAAATGTTAACAAAACATATCAATAAAAAAGTGTGTCTGTTCTTTACACTTAACATGGTTCAAGTCCCGTGGAAGGACATAGGATAGTTGTCCCAAAAATCATCCTTTAAGGGGGTGGAATTTGTTTGGGGAATCAATAACCACTGAACTGATTTAAATGAAATATGTTTTGGGGATAGTTTGATTCTTGAAAACGGATATAAGCTACATTTCGAGAACCGAAATACACACAGGCAAAAACTAGTTACTACTAAATACCAACTTTTAATTAATGGCTTTAGGGAGCTACTACAATGATGTCACATATCCAGAGAACATGCTGATAAAAAGATTTATATTCAGAGTTTCAATTGTGGTAGAGCCAAAGTGTGCCTTTTATAAATGTCAAATATGTCAACATGTCAAATCTGTCAACTGTCAACCTCCAATATTTTATCTGTGGTATTGTTGGTAAACCCCCTTTCTAAGGAGAGGCCTATGTCCAGCAGTGGACTATTATAGTTGATGATTGTTCGTATACATCAGGCATGGACCCAAACAAATCTCCAAAAAAACAGGTTACTCCTTCCTAAAAGCCGTTGCGCAATTTCTGACATATTTTTTATGGAAGTCAGGAAAACGAGTAGACGGGTCACCTGATGTAAAGTGACTACCGACGCCCATGAACCATTGCAACGGAGTCACAAACGCTTTAATGACCCCTGAGTTGCAGGCGTTGGCTGGTGGCAGCTGAAATACAATGTAGGATACAAACAAAAAACCAGTGATACATCCTTTGTCCTTTCCCCGGACTCAAACTATCTCTACACTAAATTGCATCCAAATCGGTTAACTGGTTTAGGCGTGAAGAGTGTCAGTATGTGACAGACAGACACACTTTCTCGAATTTATAATATTAATATGGATATGGATGTAGTTTGTGGTGTGGATTTACAATTTATTTCTCTTCAACGCAAGCTGAGCCACGGGCACTACTAATTTTTTAAATTGATTTGTGTGCCTACTGTATACGTAAAAGTTAGTTACCTTGCTACTAATATAATATTCATATAAATTCAGACGGACAGACATATGTCTTCATTAATTATTCATTATGGTGCTCTGTTACATCTAAGTAAATATATTGAAACTCAAGTTTAGTTTTTAAGATTCTTTACCTAAAAACATGGTTTTAGTAATGTATTAAAGTTTAACTGGTGTAGTCATTAGCTGTCCTATCTGCTAAATCAGAGGTGGTGAGTTGGATACCCACTCAGGACAAATAAGGTTGAATGCAATCATTTGTTCAATGTCCGGGCGTAATTTATCTATAATATGTATGTATTTAGAAATATATAAGTATGTTTATCAGCAGTCTGTTTACCCTATGGTAACGGACTCTGCCTATTCAGGGTTCAAACGGCCGTGTGTGTGATGTGTGCAGTTATAATAATAGTAATAATAATTTAAGTGATAGCATGGGCATCAATGCATGTTTGTATTATTAATTATATTTGCCTGAAAATTTAATTATATCCTTAGCTTATAATAATTATAAAAGATATTATATTTCCTTGTTTGTTTCATAAACACTTAGGAATGCATTTTAATTGTTTAATATTTTTTTTTTTTTTTTATTAAAACTGTTTTTATATAATGTACGAATTTTGTTAAAAAGTTTTTTAACACGCTTTATGTTAGCTTCACTTGTATGTTTGTAACCGACTCCTTTGGGCGTGATTTTGACTGACTTTAAACGGTCAGAATTCGTTCAAACTTTGTAGATATATCGAGGACAAATGACAATACACTAATTTAAAAAAAAAATAGAAAAAAAAATAGTTTTAAAAAACTAAAAAATACGCATTCTATAGAAAACCAAACTAAAAAATAGAAAATAAATTTGAAAAAACAGCGTGGGGTGGTTTTTACTATTGACAACAGGCACCTAAGTGATTATTAGAGCTTACATTAGGAGTTCATTGAGTGTGTAGCGGAGGTCCAAACCGACTCCCCCCTAATTCTGGGGACTTGTAGATGTCCATTAGCGGCGGTAGTCACTCGCGAAAGAAACAATGTTACCAGCCTTCGTATGTTAAATGTCCACCATTTTTATAAAATGCTCCCAAAAGGACCAAAGATCGCGCTAGTCTTTTAGCTGTATGAATCGAAGAGAATATATTGTTGATCTGAAGTTAACCCAAATGTTTTAGACATAAGGTTAATTTTATCAAAAATCATCTTGCCTATCATTCGGTTCATCAAAACTGTTAATATACATGTTTATATAATCGACACACCAATAGGAAATGTCACAACTGTGACGTCACAAGTTGTTGTTTAATATATATTACGCTTTAGAACTTACCGCATTAAACATTTTGACTTGACGCTCGATTGCTTATAATTATTTTTTTCTTTGGTTCCAGATCTTGAAATGCAGTGATATTCAAAACCCTTTACCTACGCTTTATTTTCAAAATCATAACAAAACATTTTCGGTGCTTAAATTTTTAATTTGGCAAAGTACGGGCTGAACGCAGCATTCTTTCTAAACTGTTGTAAGCTTTCTGAGCTAGGCCAAAAGTCTTGAAAACAAGACACAGGGTCCCAGCAGTTCTGTGGCAGATATATCCCAACATCACAACATCCATCATGGAAAATCTAACTGTACTGTCCTTTCGCAAGATCGACGAAGTCAGACGACTTGCGAAACATTTCCAAAACGTCATAAATCACCCATTAACCCAGAACAAACAAGTTCTTTACAATTACCTGAATAATTTAGATAAAACGCACAAAAATATATTCCTACAAAAACGTGAAACCGTTGAGGTTGAATATATATTTACGACTGAAAAGAAAAGCAATTTGCAAAGACAACGTTTTAACAGTTTACCTGTTAGTGAAGTGCCTGAACTGTTAAAAACTGAATTTATCACAAACGATGATGCCAAACAAGTGCACATATGCACCGATTGCAACATCGAGATAGAACTAAATGATGAAGAGCCTTTGATGGAATCGCTGCAGAAACATTTTAGTTCCGATGCTCACTTGCCGAAACTAAAGCGTGAGAGCATTGACGTCGCTGAGCCGATAATCTTACCAAACATGTCCCGAAGACTCTCCACTATGAGTGAGCTGAGTGACACGCCCTTGGCAAAAATGAAGGAGATAACAATATCTCCCAAATCTGCTGAGAAATTGGAAAGAAACTTCACGTCGAAGCTTAGTACCATGTTGGCTAAACATCTGCCTGACGCTTCTGAAGCCACCATCGACGCTGGCTTAAAGTTTTACCAAGAGAGCTATGATAAATTATCTTGTGATATTTCTGCTGTAGATTTTTCCACTCAAACAAGTTCAGTGGCTCCGATCATCATGAGTATAAAAGATAATGTGTACCAAAATTTCGCCGGAGACACGAATAAGAATATAGATAACGACGAGAACGAACAAGCGGCTGAAAAACCTAAGAACCAAGTGAAGAAATATCGCTACTACGGGCCTATTGAGAAGCAAATCGTGAAGTTGCTCGCAAATCATAAACTACTTTCCTTAATCGACGATAGAACAGGGAAATTAGCTTTCTTTTGCATTGTTTGCGAGTACTATACTCTCAGATTCCATTACGATAGTGTCTTGAACCATGTCTTCGGCGAAACTCACATACACAACCTTTCTACTGTCTTGCAATCTGACTCTAGCATTCCTTTTGCCATGACGGATAATTCTATAGAGAAAATTAAGGAGATGAATGAAAAGTTTCTTCTCAGCCATGATATTGTTGTATCTCCTAATGCTCTGTTTTGCCGTCTATGCAATGTTTCTATCGATTCCATTGAAGCGTCGATTCTTCATATTCTTGATGAGAAGCATCTTGCCAAACTTTCGGATGAGTTGTACATTAGGATGAAGGAGAAAAACTCCGAAGTGCCTGAAGAGTGGGGCCCTAAGGACCTTAACTGGACGAAGTATTTGGCTAGCGTGGGCAAGCCCATTAACAATCGTGACCATGTGATGATTGAAAACTTTATCAAGTCGTCTGGAAAGATCGGTAACTTCTGCACATGCTGCGAAATGACTCTGAAAGGGCCAAGGCAGGTGCTATTTAATCACATCCGTCAGAAAAAGCATCTGCGTAACGCAGCGCCCCGAAAGTTGTCCATGCTTTATAAAAACCATTGTCGGCCTTCTGAATATTTTGCCAGTTTCGGCAATTATTATGTGTGCTCCATTTGCCCGGAGTATGTGGCTGTGCCTTCGATTTCAGCTATAGTTGAACATTTTGAGAGCAATGCTCATTTCGAGACCATCTGTAAATTGATACGTTGTGCTTTGTTCAGCGAAAACGATAGGAAATTGTTAGCGGCCAATAAGATCGAAGACTTGAAGTGCACCATATGCAATCTGAGCTTCCAGGATTACAGTGACGCTGTGAAACATGTCCTGAGCAGCATGGAGCATCAAACTGGAGTTGCTGAATCCAAAATCAATGCGAACAAAGGCGATATTATCAGCGTTTATATGAAAGGAAATCATATTTTGCACAGTGAAGGGTCTACTTTCACTTGCGTGGACTGCAAAGGGGTGTTCCAGTCGATCCGTTCGTTGCTAACACACTTGGTGTACGCTGGGCATTTCGTCGAGAAGCCACCAACTGAGAGCATTTTCCGTTTCTATTTGGAGTTAAAACACAACATAAATATGTTGGCAAGAAACAAGTATGTGTATTATAAATTTGGATGTCTAAAATGTGGAGTTTGTGAGGGTGATATTGAAGAGGGGGAGACTGCTAAGAAGCATGTGGGGTCTCCCCGCCATAGAGAAAATATGGGGGCCAGCTATGTTAACCTTGATGCCTCTACTGTTGAGTAAAGGTAAGTGTTTCTTTTTACTTTTTTTTTCATTCTAGATCGTCGTGTCGATTACCGCCCAGGACTAACAATGTTTGATGAGCATAATTTGTTCTGTGTCTGGGGGTGTAATTTATCTATAATATTAATGTATTTAGAAATACAATAGTGCTAATTTTGTTGTTCGAAAACTCTCTAAACTAAACTAAAAAAATAGTTTAGTTCTGTCAAAGAACGTTACCTATTCTGAAAACGTAGTATTTGACAGGACTAGAAACATTTTTAGTGATATTTAGTTTAGAGAGTTTTCGAACAACAAAATTAGTACCAATAAGTGTTTTTCTTAGTCATCTGGTTACCATAGGCTCTGCCTAGTTTGGGATCAGATGGCTGTGTGTGAGATGTGTAAGGTTATTATTTTTTTGATTTTGGGGTTGCGATAGTTTCAGCCTGACATTGTGGGGCTAATGAAGTACCCTTATTATTTATAGACATATTGATATTTTTAATTTTCCCTTAAACTGGATTTTTAAGGATTTCACAAACTAATATTAATAATAACTGCCCACATAATAAATTATATTCATTTCTGCAAGTAAATCTTTTCAGATATTTTTACTGTGCTATGGTAACCAGACTGCTGATAAACATACTTAAATATTTCTAAATATGTACATACATGTTATAGATAAATTACATCCATACACAGAAAAAATGCTTCCACCACAACCTTCAGCTTTGCAGCTATTGTCACTAACCACTAGACTAACAGGCCCGTTGCACTTACAACATTGAGTAGTTTTTTACAAGCTAGACTTAAAACCAAAGAGATAAAATATTTAAATTACATATCTAATTTTCATAAGTCACTATTCCATCTAGTAATCCGTTTTAGAGACTTATTGAATTAGTAATAATACTAATTAGTTATGGCCGATAAAGCAAGCTTGTTGAAATTATCGCGTCGTGATTAAATTATTATCGATGTTGTCTATGGTTGTTGACAGGCGCAATAAATATTCGTATTATCTGTGGCCTCGTTCGAACTTTAAGTGGGGTGGTTATGATATTAATTGTGTATGGTTTAAAAAGTATGTAAGTTTTTTAAAAGAAAATTATTTTATTTTATAAAGTGTAAAAATATTGTCCTCATCAAACTACCTTGTACCTGTACTTTTTATCTTTTTAATAAAATATATATTAAATAAAGAAATGTTTAATAAATGTAATCTCTTCCATACTTATGTTATAAATGTGAAAATGAATTTGTTTGTTTGTTACACATTCACACCTAAACCACTAAACTAATTTTAAAATTTTTCACCAATGTATATCAAGCGAGTAACATAGGATATTTTTTACTTTGATAACCGACACAAAAGCTAGTTAATATTATAAACGCGAGATTTTTGAGAACGAATGTATGTTTGTTACTCAATAAGGCCAGAACGGCTAGTTAGATCTGGATTATGGAGGGAAGAGGTAAGGAGAACCATCTCTGTGTATGGAAAGTGTCTGTAAAAAGACAAAGTCAAAGTTTTTATTGCGTTTAGGTGTTAATTACAATTTTGGTTCTAAAGACATGAAAAACGCGTCTATTAAGGGATTAGAATGGGATAGACTAATCGTTGGGGTTTTGTATACTGACATTTTACCAACTACTACACCTGGAAATTATTGCTACTTTTAAATCATATTCATTTGATGAAATGATTGGTTTTAGTCACAGTGATTTTACATGTGATTGTGATTTAGTCCTAGACAAAGATAAATACCAAGATGGCTGCAGGAGCTAGACGCGAGAAGCCTAAATTCGATCTAAGTGGCGTGCAATGGGAGAGGCCTATGTCCAGCAGTGTACTGCGATAGGCTGATGATGATGATGATGATGAAATGCCATTAAAATTAATTTAAATTATTATTTAGTCATTATTTTTTTTAAATATTTGAATTCAGCAAACTTCACGTCGTCTACAACAGCTATGTTCATATCGTAGTTTTTCGTACGCCAGCGACATCTATTTTTCAGTATACAGCTGGACACTTTTTCAACTTCCCCCCCCCCCCCCCCCCCCCCCCCCCCCCCCCCCCCCCCTATGAGATGGTTCTCCTTGCCTCTACACTCCATAATCTATAGAGATAACACGGGGTACAGGTGCCTGTAAGTGGAAGCGATACAGGCAACGAGAGAGATGGATTCCCGATATTTCCCTCTGTCTCTGTTTAGTTCTCTATTTAGGTGAGCTGCGATTGGATATTTATTAAACCCTTATATTCCCCAGCCAATCACAGAGCTAGGTTAGAAAGAAATAGATAGGATTATCTATTACCCATCTCTCTCGTTGCCTATATTGCAAGATTGGAGATCTTGTTCCCTCTAGGTTATATCTCTATGCCACAATCTGGATGATATTTGGCACAGACAGATTATAAAATTCTAGAATAGTACATAGGCTTTTTACGCCATCCGTGTAGTCAAGTGAATCAAAATTCATAGGGTACTTCCCGTTGACCTATAACTCTGAAATTTGGCAAGTAACGTCGTCTTACTCTACAAGTACAGGGAAAAATCTGAAAACTATACATTTGTAAATAAATAATTAAAAAAATATAGTCTTTATTTAAAGTTCGTAATCAATCGTCGAGGTACAATTTATTTTATAAATCTCAAGAATATAAGTAATAACAGGTTTTGGAAACTGAATTTTGGGCAAAGTTCGGCAAAAAACTGCGAGATTCGATTCCTGAATTATTTATAATATGTACCTACAAATATGTAAGGAACCTTCGGTGGGGGCGAGTCAGACTCGCTCTTGTCCGGATTTTTTAAATGAATGTTCTGATTTTTCTCATGGATGCTCTAATATTCTTATGTCCCCAGGTTCTGAATGAGTGGCCAGGCGTGTTGTTGACGTGGTACGAAGAGTGCTGTTCAGAAATCTTGATAAGGATAATTTCCAAGAGAAATCATTTTACAATGAAATTTAAATGAATTAATTTTTATAACTAAACATTTGTTTAATTTATTTAATATCCCATAAATGTTAATTGTAAGCGAAAGTTTAAAAGTTAATGTAGCGTTAATGAGACGCAATCATCTGATGAATAGGAGGCACGGGACGAAATCACAGTGAACTGTGATTTATCATTAGATTTGTTCCTACGAAGCTTAAGGTTGCTACTTAAGCTGTTTTCAGACGATGCATGAAGACCCTATTTTGCCTATTTAACAGTAAATCTAGTAATTATTATACGAGGGCTGCTGTTTATGTGTCCGGAATAACCAAGGGAAATAAACATATAGCATTTATTATAGTTTTATTGCTGTTCAAAATATTCGCCGTAATGATCGATGCACTTTTGCATACGTTGGCACCAATTTTCGTAACACTTTTTCCATTCTGGTTATGGTATCTCGAAAACGTGCATTTTGAAAGCATCAACAGCCTCTTCATGGCCCGAAAAACGTTGACCACGTAATTTATTCTTTACGGTTGGGAATAAATAGAAGTCGTTGGGGGCGTTGTACGGCGGATGACCTGTTAATTCGATCTTTTGTCTTCCAAATACTGAGTTGTTTCGGCCGATGTGTGGCAGCTAGCATTGTCATGATGAAGAAGGATTCTGCGTTATCGGTTATTTTCTTATTTCTGTAAAGACTTCTGGCAAACAAATGGTCTTGTACCATTCAGAATTTATGATCCTCTAGTGCACTGTAGCCACATGTCCATTTATACAAAAAAATATAGTTTAAAAAAACTAAAAAACACGCTTTCTATAGAAAAACAAACTAAAAAATAGAAAATAAATTTGATTTCCATAGAAAGCGTGTTTTTTAGTTTTTTAAAACTATATATATATATTTTTAAATTAGTGTATTGTCATCGGTCCTCGATATATCCACAAAGTTTGAACGAATTCTGACCGTTTAAAGTCAGTCAAAATCACGCCCAAAGGAGTCGGTTACAAACATACAAACAAACATACTAGTGAAGCTAATATAAAGCGTGTAAAAAAAGCGACCATTTGCTCAAAGTACTTTTTGAACGAATTACTTTTGTTAGGTTCGGCTCATCTTGTAACACCCAAACCCTTGATTTTTGATTAGTTTCAGGATCATACACATATATCTAAGATTCATCACCTGTGTAGACAGCTTTTGACGGACCCTGATTGTACTTTTGTAACATTTTTTTACACCAATCGACACGAGCCCGTTTTTGGTAAATGATCAAGTTGTGCAGAATCCAACGTGAACAATTTTTTTTCAGCTACATCAAACGAATTGTATTCTTAAGCCAGAGTTCCATTTTTAAATGTTATAATTGCTATTTTAATATTTTTCTGTAACTGGCCAGTTCCGGATACCTACATAAAAAGCAGCCCTCGTATATAGCTATCATATCTACATAATAATAAATACTAGATTTACTGTTAAATAGGCAAAATGTGGTCTTTTTCGCGGATCTTAAAATCGAACACGGCTACACTTTTAACGTAAAACTATAGAGTGTCTCTACACTCCAAGGAGAACCATCTTATATGGTGGAATAGTTAAAAAAGTGTCCAGCTGTACACTGAAAATAGAGGTCACTGTCGTACGAAAAACTACGATATGAACATAGCTGTTGTAGACGGAGTGAAGTGTGCTGAGTGCAAATATTATAATACTTTTACTGTCTGTAAGTTATTACTAGTCTAGTACACAGTGCCTAATTATTATTTAAGCCAATATAAATGTATCCTAGGCTACCGCAGCGCCACCGTTATTGGAGGCGGCTTTACCGACACTTTTCATACAAAGAGATGGTTCTCCTTGCCTCTACCCTCCATACGTAAAACGCATATCCAGCGCATTACTAATAAAATGGAAAATACAAAACACTTTTAAAATCTTATATTGCACGTGGCTAAACCAAGTCAATAGCCACGTGAAGCTAAATTGTATATAGGAAATATTAAAAAGAAAGTAAATCCAAGCTGTGGATGATTGGTTATTATGAAGGGAATTATATCTGTATCGTCACACAGATAAGGATTTATTGCCGTTCTCTTTTATTAATAAGGCCTTCAATATCATGGAAACGAATAGAAAAAAATAGATACAAAAATTTATTTATAAATATACATTTAAAGTGACACGATAATAGTTTCTTTTAGGAAATAATCGACTAAGAATTTGTCTCTTTAGGCAGTTCTTCCAGTGGTATAATCTGTGGGCTGCTAGAAGTGTCACAAGTGCAGAAACAGTTTTTGCCTTTCGGCCCTTTTGGCAACATAAGTAATTTTAAGTTCATATTCGTTTCTAAAGCGTTTAATATTTCTGAAATAGAAAATTATTACTGATTAGAAATTTTAATAATAATAATATAAAAGTATTACTAAGACTAGCAGAATACCGATTCAAGTTTCGGTCACAATTACAATATATTCATATTACAGTCAACATTGGATGTTTAATACTTTACTACGAGAATACCTTTTGTGATATTTGTGAGATCGACAGTAAATCGGAACTGAATTTTGAACGAATTTTTATTACGAGAATTGACCTTCTGATTTCTGATGGTGGGTTGCAGATGATAGAACCCTATGAGAGCCTTGCTTGGGAAAATGGGACTGCTCGACCGGAGTGATACTCCCTATTCCCCCATCTTTTAAACTTCTCTATTCTCTCGAGGAGGGAGGGGGAGGTTTATGGTACACAAAGGGCGGCAAAGTACATGTGACTCTTGATTTATAATATATCAGTCTTATTGTTGCCGTTTCAATCCTTGAAACATTAGACGGAAGTACCACATTTCCGTTCAATGTTTCAAGGATTTTTTGGTGTACCTGTTTAGAAATATAATGAAGCCGCGTTGCATAAGAATGAACTATTTGGTCATTAGGTTGACATAATTGGATATGGGTAATTTCTTTTAGGAAAAAATACCTGTCTAAATATGGTAACAGGAACAGAGATAGAAACGAACGGAAATGTGAATACGAATAGAATAATCAGCAGTGCTATTCTCTAAGTCGAATTTTAAACTAAATTAGTTTGAAGTTCGACGCTGGGGCAGCGCTGTACGCAAGGCTGTTTCCTCAGAGAATAGGGCTGCAGTAATTTATTATGCTACTTACGTTTCTTTCCGTGATTGAGTCCTAATTTACCTCCAACATTAGGCAAATCTACATCCGTAACCGATTGCTCTGTTGGGAACCCTGGTGGCTTGGGTTCTTTTGTTAAAACTTCAGAAGATTGCCGTAAGACAGTCTCTTCTGATAATTGATGTTGTATACTTTCATTGGTTTCAGAAGATTGTTGTTCAGTCGCTTGTGCTTGCCTGAATGATGTTTGTTCTTCTAATGTTGATGAATCTTGTTCTTTTCTAGATGATTTTTCGATTGTATCAGATAATTTGGTTTCAGTAGAACCATAAGATGATTTAGTTATCGTTACATCTGGAGAGGAATTTTGATCAAAAGCTGTATTTGGTTCTGTTACAGATTTTATGCCTGTATTAATTTCATTTACAGTTGCCTCCTGTTCTTTTGCTAATATTTCTTTTTCAGTTGTTAAAATTTGTTTTTCAATATTTTCGTTTTGTTCCGCATCCGTGTTGGCTTGTTCTAATGTTGATGTATCTGTTGTTATTGCAGTTCTTTGTTTCGCAGGTATTCTGATTGTGTTTCTTTCTTCAGTTGTTTTAGTCTGTTCTGATTGGTCCATAGTTGAGATTGACTGTTCAGTTGTCCCAACGACTTCTTGAACGGTCGTGTCAGGTGGCTCTGATGTATTTTTTTCTGTTAGTTTCTCTGATGTCGTTGTTGATGATTGTTCTATTAATCCAGTGGTTAGTTCATCGGTCTCCGTATTAGTTGATTCTTCAGTTGCCGTAGTTGGTTGTTGACTCCTCGTTTCTTGTTCCGAAACTGATTGTTGCTCCGCAGTCGATAGTTCCGTTGTCATCGATGATTGTTCATCACTTGTTGACTCTTCATTTGTTATTGTTGTTTGTTGCTCGGTAGTCGATTGTTCTGTTGTCGAGGTTCGTTGTTCATTACTTTTTGACCTATGTTCTGTTGTTCTTGTTTGTTGCAGTGTATTCGATGGTTCCGTTATTGTGATTGGTTGTTCAGTACTTGTTGTCCCTTGTTCTGAAGTTGTTGTCTGATGTTCAGTAGTTGATTGTTCCGTTGTTACGGTTTTTTGTTCATGACTTGTTGCTTCTAGTTCTGTGGTTATTGTTTCTAGTTCGATAATTGATTGTTCAGTTGTTTTAATTAGTTGTTCACTACTTGCTCTCCCTTGTTCTGTAGTTGTTGTCTGTTGCTCGGTAATCGATTGTTCCGTTGTTGTGGTTGGTTGTTCATAACTTGCCGTTTCTTGTTCTGTGATTGTTGTAATTAGTTGGTCTGTAATCATTCTCCCTTGTTCTGTTGTTGTTGTCTGTTGCGAGATAGTCGATTGTTCCGTTGTCGAGGTTCGTTGTTCATCACTTGTTGACCTTTGTCCTGTTGTTCTTGATTGTTGCTGTGTATTCGATGGTTCCGTTATTTTGATTGGTTTTTCAGTACTTGTTGTCCCTTGTTCTGAAGTTGTTGTCTGTTGTTCAGGAGTTGATTGTTCCGTTGTTACGGTTTTTTGTTCATGACTTGTTGCTTCTAGTTCTGTGGTTATTGTTTCTAGTTCAATAACTGATTGTTCAGTTGTTGTAATTAGTTGTTCACTACTTGCTCTCCCTTGTTCTGTAGTTGTTGTCTGTTGCTCGGTAATCGATTGTTCCGTTGTGGTTGATTGTTCATAACTTGCCGTTTCTTGTTCTGTGATTGTTGTAATTAGTTGGTCTGTAATCGTTCTCCCTTGTTCTGTTGTTGTTGTCGTCTGTTGTTCGGTAGTCGATTGTTCCGTTGTTGTGCTTAATTGTTCATCTCTTGTTGACCCTTGATCTGTTGTTGTCGATGGTTGCTGTGTATTTGATTGTTCCGTTATTGTGATTGGTTGTTCAGTACTTATGCTGCCTTGTTCTGTAGTTGTTGACTGTTGTTCGTTAGTCGATTGTTCTGTTGTTACGGTTGGTTGTTCATCACTTTTCGTGCCTTGTTCTTTGGTTATTGTCGGCTGTTCAGTAGCTGATTGATCCGTTGTTGTGGTCGGCTGTTCACTACGTGTTGTTCCTTCTTCTTTGATTTTTGTTTCTTGTTCGATGGCCGATTGTTCAGTTATAGTACTTAGTTGTTCAGTGGGCGTTCTCCCATATTCTGTTGTTGTGTTCTGTTGCTCGGTAGTTGATTGTTCAGTTGTTATGATTGCTTGTTTATTATCTGTTGACTCTTGTTCTGCGATTATTATTTTTTGTTCCGTACTTGTTCTCTCTTGTTCTGTGTTTATTATCTGTTGTTCGGTAGTCGATTGTTCCGTTGTTAGGGTTGCTTGTTCATTACTTGATGACCTTTGTTCTGCGATTGTTAATTGTTGTTCTATAGTTGATTGTTCTGTTGTAGTGGTAAGTTGTTCAGTAGTTGCTGTGCCTTGTTCTTTGGTTGTTGTCAGATGTTCGGTAGTCGATTGTTCCGTTGATGTGGTTGATTGTTTCTTTAGTGTAGTCCTTTGTTTTGTTATTTCTTCTGTCGTTGTTGATTCTTCTGTAACTATTATAGTCGTTAGTTCTTCTCCATTTGTTGTAAACGGTTGTTCTTCTGTACTTGTTGTAGATGTTGGTTCTTCTGTACTTGTTGTAGATGTTGGTTCTTCTGTAGTTGTTGTAGATGTTGGTTTTTCTGTACTTGTTGTAGATGTTGGTTCTTCTGTACTTGTTGTAGATGTTGGTTCTTCTGTACTTGTTGTAGATGTTGGTTCTTCTGTACTTGTTGTAGATGTTGGTTCTTCTGTACTTGTTGTAGATGTTGGTTCTTCTGTACTTGTTGTAGATGTTGGTTCTTCTGTACTTGTTGTAGATGTTGGTTCTTCTGTACTTGTTAAAGATGTTAGTTCTTCTATAGTTGTTGGTTCTCCTGTATTTATTATAGACGTTTGTTCTTTTGTACTTGTTGAAGTTTTTGGTTCTTCTGTATTTGTTGTAGTTTTAGGTTCTTCTGTACTTATTGTAGATGTTAGTTCTACTGTGCCTGTTGTAGAGGTTGGTTTATCGGAACTTATTATAGGCGTTGGTTCTTCTAAACTTGATGTAGATTTTCCTTCTTCTGGACTTGATGTAGTAACTGTTGCAAATTCTGTAGTGATGAAATTAGTTTGGTGTTCTGATATAGTGGTAATAGTTGGTTCTTTTGCTATTGATCCACTCGTGGTTTTTTCTGTTGCAATATTTGTTGTCTCTTCTGTCGTCATAGTAGTTGTTGATTCTTCTCTTGATGTTAGTTCTTCTTTAGTTGTAGTAATGAATGATTCTTCTGTGATTGTCATTGCCGTTGGTTCGTCTATAGTTTTTGTAACGGTTGCTTCTTCTTTTTTAATGCTAGTTGTCTGACCTTCAGTTGTGAAGGTAGTTAAAGTCGTTACTGCGTCTGTTGTATCCTCTGCTGTTGTCGTTTTAGTGATCAGTTCTTCTTCTTTTATAGTCAATACTTCTTCTGCTGTGGTAGCAGTGCTTGCTGTCTCTGTACTTGAGATATTCCATATGTCTGTATTAGTACTAGCGGATATTCTTTCATCACTCTTTATTAGGCTGTAAGACTTTTGCTCTGGACTAGGACTGACCTCTGTACTTTCTTCTTGTTCTGTATTTTCTGAATCCGTGTTCATCGTTAGTTTGTCTACTATAGTCGCAGTAGTTGTAGATTCTTCTGCAGTTGTTGTAGTTGTTTGTGTTTTGGCTGTGGTAGTTGATGGTTGTTCAGGGTTAGTGGTAATTGTTGGTTCTTCTAATGTCGAAGGAGTTGATTCTTCTGTAGACGTTCGTGCTTCTGGTGTGGTAGTTGGTGGTTGTTCAGGGTCGTTAATAGGTGTAGAAGTTGTTGATTCTTCTGTAATAGGTATAGTTGCTTCTGATGCGGTAGTCGTATATTCTTTAGAGTTAACGGGAGTTGTCGGTTCTTTAGTTGTTGAGCCCTTTGTACTTATAGTAGGCGTCTGTTCATCTGCAGTAGAAATAGTTGATCCCTCTGTAATTATAGTAATTATCGGCTCTTCTTTTGCGGATGTTGCTAATTCTTCTGTAGTTGCAGTAGACGTCTGTTCATCTGCAGTAGAAGTTGTTGATTTCTCTGTACTTGTGGTAGTTGTCGGTCCTTCTGTTGTAGAACTTGCTAATACTTCTGGAGGAATACTAGTAGGCGTCTGTTCATTTGTAGTAAAAGTTATTGATGCCTCTGTAGTTATAGTAGGTGTACGTCCTTCTGTTGTAGAGATGGCTAATGTTTCAGTAGTTGTGGTGGTAGTTCTGAGTTCTTTTGTTGTGGAAATTGATAATTCTTCTATATTTGTTGAAAGTGTTGGTTCATCTGCAGTAGAAGTTGTTAATTCCTCTGTAGTTGTTGTAGTTGCCTGTTCTTCTGTTGCAGAAGTTACGAATTCATCTGTAGTTGTTGAAGATGTCAGTTCATCTGTTGTAGAACTTGCTAATACTTCTGGGGTTGTAGTAGGCGTCTCTTCATTTGTAGTTAAGTTAGTATAAGTTATTGATCCCTCTGTAGTTGTAGTAGGTGTCCATCCTTCTCTTGTATAACTTGCCAATGCTTCAGTAGTTGTGGTGGTAGTTGTGAGTTCTTCTGTTGTAGAAGTTGCTAATTCTTCGGTAGTTATGGTAGTTGTCGGTTCATCAGCAGTAGAAGTTGTTGATCCTTCTTTTGCAGAAGTTTCTAATTCTTCTGTAGTTGTGGTAGACGTCTGTTTATCTGCAGTAGAAGTTCTTGAACCCTCTGTAGTTGTCGGTCCTTCTATTGTAGAATTTGCTAATTCTGCTGTACTTGTAGTAGGCGTCTGTTCATCTGCAGTAGAAATTGTTGATCCCTCTGTAATTATAGGAATTATCGGCCCTTCGTTTGCGGGAGTTGCTAATTCTTCTGTAGTTGTAGTAGACGTCTGTTCATTTATAGTAGAAGTTGTTGAGCCCTCTGTAGTTGTAGTAGTTGTCCGTCCTTCTGCTGCAGAACTTGCTAATACTTCAGTACTTGGGGAATTATCCAGTTCCTCTGCAGTAGAACTTAGTAATTCTTCTGTAGTTGTAGTAGGCGTCTTGTTATCTCCTGTAGAAGTGTTTGATCCCTCTGTACTTGTGGTAGTTGTTCGTCCTTCTGTTATAGAACTTGCTAATTCCTCTGTAATTGTACTAGACGTCTGTTCATCTGCAGTAGAAATTGTTGATTTCTCTGTACTTGTGGTAGTTGTCGGTCCTTCTGTTGTAAAACTTGCTAATACTTCTGAGGTTGTATTAGGCGTCTGTTCATTTGTAGTATAAGTTATTGATTCCTCTGTAGTTGTAGTAGGTGTACGTCCTTCTGTTGTAGAGATTGCTAATTTTTCAGTAGTTGTGGTGCTAGTTCTGAGTTCTTTTGTTGTGGAAGTTACTAATTCTTCTATACTTGTTAAAAGTGTCGGTTCATCTGCAGTAGAGGTTGTTGATTCCTCTGTAATTGTAGTAGTTGCCTGTTCTTCTGTTGCAGAAGTTACGAATTCATCTGTAGTTATTGAAGATGTCGGTTCATCTGTTGTAGAACTTGCTAATACTTCTGGGGTTGTAGTAGGCTTCTGTTCATTTGTAGTATAAGTTATTGATCCCTCTCTAGTTGTAGTAGGTGACCATCCTTCTCTTGTATAACTTACCAATGCTTCAGTAGTTGTGGTGGTAGTTGTTAGTTCTTCTGTTGTGGAAGTTGCTAATTCTGCTGTAGTTGAAGTAGGCGTCTGTTCATCTGCAGTGGAGGTTGTTGATCTCTCTGTAATTATAGTAGTTTTGGACCCTTCTGTTGTGGAAGTTGCTAATTCTTCGGTAGTTATGGTAGTTGTCGGTTCCTCTGCAGTAGAAGTTGTTGATCCCTCTGTAATTATAGTAATTATCGGCCCTTCTTTTGCGGAAGTTGCTAATTCTTCTATAGTTGTTGTAGACGTCTGTTCATCTGCAATAGAGGTTGTTGATCTCTCTGTTATTATAGTAATTTTGGACCCTTCTGTTGTGGAACTTGGTAATTCTTCGGTAGGTATAGTAGGTGTCTCTTGATCGGTAGTAGAAGTTCTTGATCCCTCTGTTATTAAAATAGTTTTCTGCCCTTCTGTTGTGGAAATTGCTAATTCCTCTGAGGTGTTGGTAGTTGTCGGTCCTTCTGTTGGAGAATTTGCTAATTCTGCTGTACTTGTAGTAGGCGTCTGTTCATCTGCAGTAGAAGATGTTGATCCCTCTGTAATTATAGTAATTATCGGCCCTTCTTTTGAGGAAGTCGCTAATTCTTCTGTAGTTCTAGTAGACGTCTGTTCATCTGCAGTATAAGTTGTTGATGTCTCTGTACTTGTGGTAGTTGTCAGTCCTTCTGTTGTAGAGATTGCCAATGTTTCAGTAGTTGTTGTGGTAGTTGTGAGTTCTTCTGTTGTGGAAATTGCTAATTCTTCGGTAGTTATGGTAGTTGTCGGTTCATCTTCAGTAGAAGTTGTTGATTTCTGTATAATTGTGGTAGTTGTTGGTCCTTCTGTTGTGGAACTTGGTAATTCTTCTGTAATTATAGTAGGTGTCTCTTGATCGGTAGTAGAAGTTCTTGATCCCTCTGTTATTAAAATAGTTTTCGGCCCTTCTGTTGTGAAAATTGCTAATTCCTCTGAGGTGTTAGTAGTTGTCGGTCCTTCTGTTGCAGAATTTGCTAATTCTGCTGTACTTGTAGTAGGCGTCTGTTCATCTGTAGTAGAAAATGTTGATCCCTCTGTAATTATAGTAATTATCGGCCCTTCTTTTGCGGCAGTTGCTAATTCTTCTGTAGTTGTTGTAGACGTCAGTTCATTTATAGTAGAAGTTGTTGAGCCCTCTGTAGTTTTAGTAGTTGTCCGTCCTTCTGCTGTAGAACTTGCTAATACTTTAGTACTTGGGGAATTATCCAGTTCCTCTGCAGTAGAACTTACTAATTCTTCTGTAGTTGTAGTAGGCGTCTGGTTCTCTCCTGTAGAAGTGCTTGATCCCTCTGTAATTGTGGTAGTTGTTCGTCCTTCTGTTGTAGAACTTGCTAATTCCTCTGTAGTTGTACTAGGCATCTTATTATCTGCAGTAAAAGTTGTTGATTTCTCTGTACTTGTGGTAGTTGTCGGTCCTTCTGTTGTTGAACTTGGTATTTCTTCTGTAGTTATAGTAGGTGTGTGTTGATCAGCAGTAGAAGTTCTTGATCTCTCTGTTGTTATAGTAGCAGTCGGCCCTTCTGTTGTGGAAGTTGCTAATTCCTCTGAGGTTGTGGTAGTTGTCGGTCCTACTGTTTGAGAAGTTGCTAATTCTTCTATGGTTTTAGTAGGCGTCTGTTCATCTGCCGTAGACGTTGTTGATCCCTCTGTAATTATAGTGCTAGTCGGCCCTTCTGTTGTGAAGGTTGCTAAATCTTCTATGGTTATAGTAGGCGTCTGTTCATCTGCCGTAGACGTTGTTGATCCCTCTGTAATTATAGAGCTAGTCGGCCCTTCTGTTGTGAAGGTTGCTAAATCTTCTATGGTTATAGTAGGCGTCTGTTCATCTGCCGTAGACGTTGTTGATCTCTCTGTAATTATAGTGCTAGTCGGCACTTCTGTTATGAAGGTTGCTAATTCTTCTATGGTTATAGTAGGCGTCTGTTCATCTACCGTAGACGTTGTTGATCCCTCTGTAAACATAGTGCTACTTGGCCCTTCTGTTGTGAAAGTTGCTAATTCTTCTATGATTTTAGTAGGCGTCCGATCATTTATAGTAGAAGTTGTTGAGCCCTCTGTAGTTGTAGTAGTTGTCCGTCCTTCTGCTGTAGAACTTGCTAATTCTTCCATTGTTATGGTAGTTTTCGGTTCTTCTGCTGTAGAAGTTCTTGATCCCTTTTTAGTTACAATAGTTGTCCGTCCTCCTGTTGTAGAACTTGCTAATACTTCAGTAGTTGGGGCATTATCCAGTCCCTCTGAAGTAGAACTTACTAATTCTTCTGTAGTTGCAGTTTGGTTATCTCCTGTAGAAATTTTTGGTCCCTCTGTGCTTGTAGTAGTTGGATAATAATCCAGTTTTTCTGCAGTAGAACTTATTAATTCTTCTGTAGTTGTAGTAGGCGTCTGATTATCTGCTGTAGAAGTTTTTGATCCCTCTGTACTTGTGGTAGTTGTTAGTGCATCTGTTATGGAACTTGGTAATTCTTCTGTAGTTATAGCAGGTGTCTGTTGATCAGCAGTAGAACTTCTTGATTCTTCTGTTATTATGGTAGTTGTCAGCCCTTCTGTAGAGAAAGTTACTGATTCTCCTGTAGTTTTAGTAGGCGTCTGTTCATTTATAGTATAGAGTGTTGATCCCTCTGTAGTTGTTGTAGTTGTCCGTCCTTCTGCTGTAGAACTTGCTAATTCTTCCGTAGTTATAGTGGTTGTCGATTCTTCTGCAGTAGAAGTTCTTGATCCCTCTCTAGTTGCGGATCCTTCTGCTGTGGAACTTACTAATTCTTCTTTAGAAGTTATTGTTTCGCCTACAGTTATAGTGGGAGTGGACGTAGCAGGGCCTTGTGGTTTAGTGATTGATATTAATTCTTCTGAAGGAGTAGTATATTGTTCAAATTCAGAAGTTATTAGTTCTCCTACAGTTGTAGTTGTCGGTTCTTCAGTGGTCGTTATAGGAGGTTGTGACATAGGTCCGAACTCATGGAATGGACTTTTAGCGTCCGCTTCTGTAGTAAATGGTGATGTGGTCGTCTGTAGTTTATCTATTGTGGTTGTGTGCGTAAGAGATGGTTTTTCAGTTATAGATATTGCTAAATCGTTTAGAGCGACTAGCGGCTTTGCAGTATAAGTAGTCGATGTTTCTTCTGTGGTGGTTGATGTTGTTGTAGCAGACAGGTTCAATGTTGTATTACCTTCAAAATCTTCAAAGAGATCTGTAATATTTTCATTTGCATTTGCTGACTTTTCTGTAACTATTATAGATTCATCTGAATTATCCTGTTCCGGGTCACCTGGAGGACAGGTTACTGGGTCAGTTGCTTCTGTTGAATAATCCTCATAAGAATCGTAATATTCTGGTAGTTCAGTAGTGGGATACCTTGTTATAAGTATGTTGTCAGTTGATATATGTGGTGATGTTGATAATCCAATTGGTGAAAATATTGGTACTATTGTGGGGGCACTCGTAGGTTCTACAGATATTATAGTGGCGTTTTTAGTTTCAGAACGTACTGCTACAGTTGTTGTAGTTAGTATTAGAGGTGTTGTAGTGAATGAATTTGGTTCCTTAATCGTTGTTGACTCCAATGTTGATGTGGATGATTCTGCAGTCGTGGCTTCTAAAGCTGTTGTTGAGGCTTCTGTTTTTGTTGTAGGTTTAGCCACTTCTTCTTCTGCTCTTACTTCTTCTGAAAAATCAGGGTTATCGGTAACATCAAAACATTCCTCGCCTGACTCAAGGTTTTCTGATGAACATGATGTATCTTCATATTCATCTGTACCTTGAATGGTGTTGCCACGAGACTTATCATGCGCTTTGGTAGTTGGTTGATCCGTTGTTGTTGTTGAGCCTTTAGCATCTGTCTCTTTAATGTTGGAAGTTGATTTTTGAGTTGTTATAGGTAGTTCTTCCCCTATTAAATCTTTTTTAGTAGAAAATTCAATTTCATTAGTTTCAGAAGCGCTAGCACTTTGAGTATGTGGTTTTTTCTGTATTATTTCCTTACTATACTCAGAGGCGTATAAAGTACCTTTTGATTCAGATACAGATAAACCATCATTAAAACCTAATTGTGATGAACGTCCAGTTGTCATATTTTCTTCATTACTAACTTTTTCAGTAGTATTTATTATTGAATGCCCTGTTGTTGACTCTTCTTTTTCAGAAACAACTTCAGTAGTGGTTGTTAATGCTCCATTTGTAGTCTTATAATCAATATTTTCAGTTGCTGATTCAGTACTATTTGTTGTTTCAATAGTTATTGCCATTGGTTCAATAGTTGTAGGGTCCGTATTAACGGTAGCTAATTTAGAGGTTGTAATTTCTGGTTCAGTCGCTGGTGACTCGAAGGTTGCGGCTGGTTCAATAGTTGTTAGGGTAGTTGTTGATTTAATTGTCATAGTTGCTGTTGGTTTAGATGTTACCTCTTTAAGTTTAGTTGTTGTTGAGGTTGAGGGCTCCGTTGTATCAGTGATTGCTGCTGAAGCTACTGACTCGGTAGTAATAGAAATTGCTTCCGTTGCTATAGTCACTGGCTCTGATGAAACAGTCGTTGCCTCTGATGTAATAGCCGTTACCTCTTTAGTGGTAGTAATAGGTTCAGTGTATGCATCTTCTTCAAAAGTTTCTTCTGAGGTGTAATCATCTTCTTCGTAGGAGTCATAATCTTCTGTAGTAGTCGGTTGAGTTGTTGTTGATGTGGTTGTTGTGGTGGTCGATTTAGGTATGCGAGGCTTGTTCTCTTTAATGTATTTTATGGCCGATAAAATATCTGTAAAACAAAAATATATCACAGACAAAGGTACTTTATGCATCTTTTTGATGTAAATGTATATTTCTAAATTATTATTATTTATTACTAGCTTTAAATATAAAACTTTTAACTTTTTTCTTCAGACTGCAATGTTACGCATTCTTCGTTTCGGTTATCCAAATCTACAATTCGGTCACATTGAAGTATCTATACATCTGTATCGTTGTTTATGGCTATTTCTTGACGTTAATCCTAGGATTTTGGCATCGTTGTGGTTTACGCACAAAGAATTACCAGTGGGTTTGACCTATTCAATGCTTTTATTTTAATTTTATGGATGTCAATTTACCTGGTTGACCAGTAGCTCTCGGCAAGTCACGTAAAGCGGCAATCAAGTCTGGGAATAAAACACAAATATAAGCTTAAAGTAAAACTATACGTATATATAAGTCGTCCCATTAAAATTCATATTGACCTGGTGATGAGTTTTGGAGACACAACTGAACTCCTCAAAACAAGACAGTAGATCAACCGCGATTATTGCTAGGGTTTTAGTGCTCTTCGTTAGTATTGTTTGAAGTTGGTTGTACTTTTTTTAAGAAGGATTTAGATAGTTTTTGGTTTGTGCTTGTTTATGGTGTAGAGGGCAAAAGAGCAAACAAGTCATCTGATGATAAGTGACTGAGGCCGCGCATGTCTGCAACTCACGAGTCAAAAGTGGGTTGCCGCCTTTTGATCGAGAATTAGGGGAAAAGTTTGGACTTCGGTGACGTCACTCACTCGGTGAAAGGCAACGCAAAAATTTCTTTACACCGATTTTGTTTGAGGCCGTGGTATCCATAGAGATGATACAGATAAAGAAGAGAAGGTATTGGATTGTCTATAAGTATTCGTATTAAGCCGATTTGCTCATTTGCTGTCTACTCCTTGCTCTCTCTCCTGTCTCTACTTCGGGCCAACAAATCAGCGAAGAGGTGCAAGAGAGAGTGCATGTAAATCGCCGTCTTTTTTCTCTTTCTACCAATATCCTCGGATCGTGGCGCCCTTCTCTCCTCTAAATAGAGGAGAGAAGGGCGCCACGATCCCACCATAGAGATAATACAAATGTATTATCTCTATGGTGGGATCACTCCGATCGAGGCGGTCCATGTCTCTCCTACGAATGAACGAGTGTGGTTGAGTTTGTGTGTTTTTATAATTTAAAAAAATTACTTACTTTCAGTTTCAGTGAAATCCTCAAGTATCATTACTGCTTCTTGTAAATCTAACAAACAAAAAAAAGATCATGAGAGAAAATAATTTTGTTCATTATATAGTCTCGTAATCTTGTGCATAACAGTATAAATGACTGGGGCCCAAAATTCAGCCCTGGGGCACACCTGAACTAAAAATCTCCGAATTAAGGTTTAAGATCCTACATTAAATAAATTCTTCGAGGCTAATATATATGTGTCATTGAATGAATAAACATCGATTCAAATGTATCATTTAAAGTGAGCTTGTAAGAAGTATTTTGTGATACACTCTATCAAAAGCTTATGTTAAATATTAAAATATAAACGTACTCTGAAATTTCCTGTAAATTTTTAAAATCGTCTGTCTGTCTGTCTGTCAATATTTTTGAAGATATTACTGTTGTGACTCATCCAATCTTTCACATTTTTGAAAGTTCTTTTTTCATACAAACTTTCCTTGCCCATTCAAGGTGTCGGGTACCTTCATACATAATTTCATCAAAATTGTTCCATCCATTTGAGCGTGAAGAAGTAACAGACATACAAACACTCACACTCACAAACTTTCGCCTATAAGTATAATATTAGTGTGAATACAGATCAAGTAGTGAAAAGTTTAAGAAGATGTACTCACAGAAAGATTTACTCAAAGTTATGATGTTTTCGAAAAGTTTTACGGTATCTGTAAAAAAAAGAGAAATACAGTTAATGAATTTATTTAACAGATTTATTTTGATTTGTGTCGTACTCTGACTCTGTACACAATCTGAAAAAATCCGCATTAAACAAATATATCATAAAAATATCCTTATATATCCGGATATTTTTTTAACGACTCCGAACACATAACGCACATTCAGGTAATTATAGGTTTCGGATTAAGTCCGTGTGGTGACGGATTAAGAATACGGAGTGTCACCACCCCTATTCATCCCGTGGGTGTCGTAAGAGCCGACTAAGGGAGCAAACTACGCAGGACAACAGCACTGCAAACAGAAGGAAAACTTGACACAAAACTTGGTATAGTAGGCCAAAACCTCCTTTCTAAGGAGAGGCCAATGTCCAGCTGTGGACTATTAAAGGCTGTTGATGATGTTACAGTCAGACCTCTTAACCAATTAAAAGTATTTTGAACCAGCATTGGGTGATATTACTTTTCAGTGCTGAGCTAGTGTGGGTGAATCATTTGGGTTAGATACTTTCGACTGATTTTGTCGATTAAGAATTATATTTTAATAAACCAAAAAAAAACAGCTTTTGCAACTTGACGAACTAAAATGTAGAAAATAATTTTCTGTACCTTCAAAAATAAAAAACATTTTATCGTAAAAACACAGGAAAAAACTACTGATTAAAGTTCCACACATTAGAAATATTCTTTAGATTGTAACAAAAAATACTTACCCATTTTAGTGATATCATAAATTTCGTGGATGACTTCAAATAAATCTGAAACCAAAAAGACCGAACATAAGTGTACGAACTTAGCGTCTGTAAGCTACTGCAATCTTTATTTTATGGTATAGGATGACCAGCGAGCACATGTATCACCAGATGGTAAGTATAATATTTCGGACATTTAGGACATCTGCCACACAACGCCATCTAGTTTCAAACTAAGCAGAGCTTGTACTATAAAAGCTAGATTGATTGATGGAATACTCAGATACTTTTTTTTTCGTAAATACATACATATTATACATAGAAAACAACCAAACTCCGAAACAAATATTTGCAGATCAGACAAACATTTGGTCCGATCAGGGAATCGAACCCGAGACCTCAGCACAGCGGTCGCACACGCTACCACCGAGGCAAGTGACCACCGCCCATGAACAACTCAAGAGTCAGAAATGGGTTGCCGCTTTTGAAGTGTTCCTCAGAATCTGGGAGATATAGACTTCGGCGCCTTATGCACTGGGTGTAAAAGTAACAAAAGAATTATTTAGCACCGGTTTTCTGTGATGCCGTGGTATTGCCCCGGCAGTCCATGTGGTGACGGATTAAGAATACGAAGTGTCACCACCCCTATTCATCCCGTGGGTGTCGTAAAAGCCGAATAAGGGAGAAAACTACGCACTGCAAAGAGAAGGTCAACTTAAAACGGACGATGTTGGTATGGTAGGCCAAATCCTCCTTTCTAAGGAGAGGCCTATGTCCAGCAGTGGACTATTTGAAGCTGTTGATGATAATCGCTCCAGTCGAACCGGCCTATTAGTTCCAAAGCATTCTTTTTTTTAATAGAGCTGATACATTGCTAATACATTAATATCGTAAGTATTGTGAATGTACTAACAATATCACATTTAAATTTTATCTGAACTACATAAACATTTTTTTTTAAAGACAACTCCCTCGTTAACAATATATCCTGTGTCGCGGGGGACTTCACAAACATACATGAAACGGACACAAAGAACACCCAGACTCAGAACAACAATTTGTGGATCACACAAAGTGTCGTCCCATGTGGGGTTTGAACCCACAACACTCGGCGTAGTAGGAAGCGGCGTGGCGACCGCTTAAACCACTCCGCCATCCGTGTAGTCAAACTAATTTCCAACGTAAAACATGATTCTGACATCTATACAAATAAATAAAATTGGAGTGTCTGTTTTAATATTAAAATAACCGCTTTTTACTAAATGCATATATATGTTTACACGGTACATATACCAAAATAACATTTTTTACAATTTTTGTCTGTCTGTCTGTCTATCTGTCTGTTTGTTCCGGGTAATCTCTAGAACGACTGGACCGATTTCGACGGGACTTTCACTGGCAGATAGCTGATGACATAAGGAGTAACTTAGGCTACTTTTTTTAGACAAGCTTCGCCCCGCGGCGTTGCCCGCGGTTATAACAACAAACGTGTTAAACAAAATGTTTATGTAAAATCTTACCGTCCATATCACATATTTTATTCAACATGGCCGCAGCGAATCTTACATTCGTTGTGTTGGTGACTCGCAGTATCGTCTGCAAGAAGATAATGATATCCGCCGTGGTATATTTGTGCACCTTGTCGAAGAACACGAATATATCTAAAGAGAAAGAAAATATACCACGTTTTAATAATATTATGTAAAATATTTATCATACCGGTCAACATATTTGTCATACCGGTTAACATATTTGTCATACCGGTTAACATATTTGTCATACCGGTTAACATATTTGACATACCGGTTAACTTATTTGACATACCGGTTAAAATATTTATCAACGTTGACTGGTTTCATGTTTCATGCGAATGTTTATCGGTATTATACATATGTTGATGGTTTGATAAATATAATATAAATAATTTTTACTAATAATATTGTACCACATTCACACAACGCTATCTAGTCCCAAACTAAGCAGAGCTTGTACTATGGCTACTAGACAACTGATATAAATACATATATCCTTTTTTTTCGTAAATACATACAAAATACCATCAAACATTAAATGTTCATGCACACAAATGTTTGACTTGAGCGGGAATCGAACCTGCGACCTTTGGAATAGCAGTCTGTTACACAAACCACTACGCCATCGGTATTCGTCTATATGTTAACCGGTTTCTTCTTTTATAATATTTATCATATCGGTCAACATGTAGTTTATTGGGCTTTGTGAGTTTATGACATACTGATATGCGTTTAGTGAATTTCGTTTAAATTTTATTAATATTCATAATAAATTAATATATAATTTGAGTGTAGTGGCCTCTGGTAATGCGTTACAACTAATACTGAGTATGTGGATAACATCTAATACGAGTATATTACGAAGTATTTACCTCTTATTGTAGTTACGGTGATCATAACTTGCCAGCTTTCTTGGATAGCTAGAATTAAAACAAAATGTAAATATTCGGTTTAAATAAGCTAGTGCGAAAATATTTTTTATAACAGCAGTTCTATCATATTTTTTTCCTGTGCGGAAATCCCCTAGGATACCACCCCGCAGGTTGCTATGTCGGACTTGAACCGACTAAAAACCGCACGCCGGAAAGAAAATCCCTGGTGCCCCGACGTACTTTGAGCCATCTACGGCGGGTAGATGACCCCCTCCTGTGTGGGAACGGGACCTCAGATGGCCTCAACAGATGGCCTCGCCTGTCACCCCCAGGCCTGCGCTTATGAATGACAAAGGTCCTTCTGCGACCTCCGGTGCCTGATTCGTCTTCGGTATTTTAGATAAATTATACCCAGACATGATCATCACAAAATTATTTGTCCTGGATGGGAATCGAACCTACGATTCTGGCTTAGCAGTCATGGTCACTAACCACGAGATCAACAGGCCCGTCAATAGTAATTGGAGGGAAAAAGTAAGAAAGAAAATATATTTCATTTCTAAGACACACGACATCTTTTACATAAGAATTTAATGGATGATAGTGACTAATACTGGTATTTAATAATATCGATATATCATAATACTAATACTCACATTTGGCTCCGGTCATAGATATCATTGCCTTGAAAAAATCGATAATGTTTTCATGGCCAGACTTGACGCGAATATTTTCCAAAATATCTAGCAGTGACACTGAAAATGAGAAAATTATATACAGATCATTTAAAAATTATTACAAAATATATTAGAATTAAGTACAGTATTGTAAAAAAACCGGTCAAGTGCGAGTCGAACTCGTGCGCCGAGGGGTCCGTACCTACCCATTATACAAAATAAGAACATACAAATTTGGCATAGTGCCAATTACGGTAATCCTCTAAAATAATTTAGAGGTATGAGGCTCATATAAATTGTATGGGGGCTCATAAAAATGAGCCCCCATACAACTCAGATTACTATTTTAATTGGAGTCAACAGTGTATGTATGGGGACACCCTTTCATTTTCAACTTTTTTTATTTTTTGGAATTTTCCTTTATTTGTTCTGTGAGACCTTGCTTTTAACAAAAATTGACAATTATAGGTCAACCGGAAGTACCCTATAGGTATATGGTAGTTCCCGTTGACCTAAAGTCATGAAATTTTAAAAAAGCGAGGTCTATTTTTTAATTCGAACCAGTAGTTCCTGAGATTAGCATGTTCAACCAAACAAACAATCTCTTAAGCATTTAATATTAGTATAGATATAAAAAGCTTTAAAACAGTGCAATATAAACTTACTGTGTTTAATAGTGAGTGTTTTTATGATTGTCGCTGCGTCCTTTATGTTGCTAGCGAGGGTAACATCTAACAGAGAGTTGAGGATAAACAGCGCGTCGGGGCCCTTCGTCACCTTATTCACTTGGTGGATTATGGTCACAATATCTGAAATATACAACACACCATTATATCATCATCATCAACAGCCTTTACTAGTCCACAGCTGGACATAGGCCTCTCCTTAGAAAGGAGGTTTTGGCCTACTATCTAATACTTAATTATTTTACTCAAAAATTGCTTTCAAATAACTATCAATGATGGAAAGTAGTTGCAACAAAGAAAATTGCCCTAATTGGTGTCATAAAGTTACAAAAGAAGACCGAAGTAACGGGTGTTTTTTTTTGTAGAGTCAGAAGTTTAAATTGGCAACACTGTTTTCTGTGACAGTTCTACGTTACATTTGAGGTAAGTTTGGTTTGGCAATTCATCATGGATAGTCTCGACGGAGCAACGCGTGCAAATTGTTCAAATTTCTTTTTAAAACAAGGTTCGGTTCTGATGAAAACTGATCGAGCATTACGTGAATTTTAAGGTGCTCATAATCGTAGATCAGAGCGATTAATTCGAGCAACTATGGATCGTTTTCGCAAACGTTTACTCTAAACGATAATACGCATCCCGTAAGACATCGTAAAGTGCACACAATAGCGATTGATAGTGTGCAGCGCGGTGTTAATGAGGATCCAAATGTGTCGATTTGTCATCGGGCTCAATAATTAAACTTCTGTCCATCCACTTTATGGAAAATTTTGCGTAAGGAATTGAAGCATCGTTTGCGCCGTACATTCAGCGAATGGGCTGAAGGAAACAATGCTATTGATCCACAATCTCATTTGTCAAATTTTGTTCAGTGATTAAGCACACTTTTGGTTGAATGGCTATGTCAATAAACAGAATAGCCACATTTGGGGAGATGATAATCCACAAGCCATTATCGAAACGCCGTTAAATCTAGAAAAAGTCACTGTTTGGTGCGCTTTATGGGCCCGGAGGTATCTTTGGTTCATATGTCTTTAAAAATGATGATGGCCGTAACGTTACAGTTAATGGTGAGCGGTACAGAGACATGATTACAAACTTTTTTGTGCCTCAATGTGGATGGCATTAATGTGGTTTCAGCAGGATTGTGCCACATGCCACACAGCGCACGATACCATTAATTTACTGAAAGAAACGTTTGACGAAAGATTAATTTCACGAAATGGACCTATTAACTAGCCACCTCGTTCATGCGATTTGACGCCTTTAGATTATTTTCTCTGGGGATATGTCAAGTCGCGACAAAGTGGTGACAAACCAGAAACGATTGAGCACTTAGAAGCCAACATTCGACGCGTCATTGCTGAGATACACCGATTTACCGAGAAGAGTATGTGAAAATTGGACATCCCACATGATCGAAATTATATTTAAACATTAATGCCATAAAATAATATCTCGAATAAAGCCAATTTCATGAATATTATAAACATTTTTCTGTTATTTATTTCAGTTTAAAGTTCTCCGCCTCTAAAAAACACCCTTTATTACCATATGTGTAGGAAATAATATTACACGTATGGTATTACGGAACCAAGTATTTAGTGACAACTCTAGGGTATAATTAATTAGGGATCTTTTCTTATAATGTTTTTATCCTAATATACTCGTACATTGACGACGGAACTATTTTGGTATATTTTTTGTATGATGGTACTTTGCAGTTTATGTTGACACAATTATTAATTAAGGTTACTTTATTTTGTCATAAATTTAATTCGCATTATGTTACTATAGTCCACCAACGTCGTGCGCGACCGTCCTGCGGGGTGACAGACGGTGGCGGGGACGAGGTACTCAAGATCGCGCACGAGATTGCCGGGTTATAGAAATGGACAACCAATTACTAGTATATGTACAGGAATATATCTACTTAGAACAAAAAATCTCTCACGAGAAACAAACAACTAAACAAAGAGATAGAAGAATAGCAAATGTATGGAAAAAATACTGGTCGCTGGAAGAAATCATGAAGTCAAACGAGTTAAACATGTCTATAAAAAGAAAGGCTTTCAACACTTGCATACTTCCAGTCCTTACCTATGGCTGTGAAACATGGGCACTCACCAAACTCCACAGAGAAAAACTGGCGGTCGCGTCGTCGCCGCACATACCCGTCCGTCGTTTATGCAAATAGGTATATAGGGATCTTAATAATTATCATATCAGATAAACCCTAATACTTACTGTCAGTGTCGAAAACGTCTTTGAACATATCTTGAACCTTCAGCAAGTCTCCGACGCCAGCTATTTTGTATAAATTCTCCACAATAAGTCTCAAACCTGGCGAAAGAAAATGAAGTATTATCAAGCAAGACTTAGATAATTTTGTGGACCCACTTGGTGTAAATAATTGTATTATCATCAATTGTCCACTGCTGGACATAGATCTCTTTTTAGAAAGGAGGTTTAGGCCTGGCAGACATCACACTGGACAGGCGGGTTCGTCTTCAAATAAAATTTAATTCATGCACATATTTTTAATAATGATGGCGTAGTGATTTATGCGGTCGCCATGCCGCTCACTACTACGCTGAGAGTTGTGAGTCCGATCCCCACATGGGACGACACTTTGTGTAATCCAGAAATTGGGTGTTATTTGTGTCTGTTTCATGTATGTTTGTAAAGTCCCCGCGACACAGGATTTATTCCTACCGCGGGAGTTGTCTTTTATAAAATTGTATTAAAATCATTCATTGGATTAAATATCGGTTCAACTCTCACGTTTATGTTGAAGCAAAAATTATGGAATTTTGTCCATATTTCACACACTCTTACGACACCCACGGGATGAATTGGGGTGACATTACGTATTCTTAATCCGTGACTACACGGATTTATATTTATTTAAACTGAAATATTACAATAATTACATGGAAAATGCAATACGATAAATAAGGAGGAAATATACAACATAAATACTTACTGCCACGGCTTAAAGCTTGGGTGAGTTCTTCAACTGCGTATTTTAATTCTATAAAAATAAAATAAACATTTAATTTGTTTGATGACAACATCATTAAAAAAAAATACTTTGGCGGACTTAATGCCTGAGGCATTTTCTCATGAGTAGCGCGGAAAACACTGACTAGGTGCACCAAATAATAATAATATACCTTACACATCTCACACACGGCCGTCTGATCCCAAACTAGGCAGAGCCTGTACTATAGTAACCAGACTGATGATAAACATACTTATATATTTCTAAATACACACGTATTATAGATAAATTACCCCTACACACGGAACAAATGACCGTGTTCATCACACAATGTTTGTCCTGGGTGGGAATGGAACTCACGACCTCCGGTTCAGCAGTCACTAACCACTAGACCAACAGGCCCGTCAAAATACTAAGTATTATATTTAAAGATATATCTTTTCTTATAATGTTTTCATTTTATTTTATACTTTTAAATATATTTAGGATATCTCAAATGCCGGAGAGAGGGGGCGCTATTATTAAACTTCTGCCCCGGTTCGAAACAATCGTAGATCCTTGGCTGTACACCTGCAACTTAGAAGTCACAGAGAGCTCCCCCTCCCATCCCCAAACAGTGAGGTTGGGCTCTATAGTTCCTCAGTCGGTGAAAAGCAGAGGATGACAACGGTAAGAGGTGCGTTTCCATTCTTTTACCACAACGGGATTTTATTTTATTAATGTGTGGTGAAGGTGTTTACGGATCGGTGGGACTCCCCTCTGCTGCGCCACAGGTGAAAGATCCACACCAGTCACCATAATAATTGATTGCGTATTAATAACATTAGTCCTTAAGTTACTTTGTTTGTACTAATCTATACTAATATTATAAAGCTGAAGAGTTTGTTTGTTTGTTTGTTTGTTTGAACGCGCTAATCTCATGAACTACTGGTCCGATTTGAAAAATTCTTTCAGTGTTAGATAGCCCATTTATCGAGGAAGGCTATAGGCTATATATCATCACGCTAAGACCAATAGGAGCGGAGCACCAATGAAGAATGTTTCAAAAACGGAGAAAATTTATGACTATTGAGAGACGCAGACGAAGTTGCGCGGGTCAGCTAGTATAATATATCTCACACGTCTCACACACGGCCGTCTGATCCCAAACTAGGCAGAGCCTGTGCTATGGTAACCAGACTGCTGATAAACATACTTATATATGTTTAAATACACACATATCATAGATAAATTACACCCTGACACAGAACAAATGACTGTGCTCATAACACAATATTTGTCCTGGGTGGGAATTGAACCCACGACCTCCGGTTTAGCAATCAGGGTCACTAACCACTAGACCAACAAGCCCGTCAAACCCTATGGACTATGTCTGAAATAAACTTTTTGAATTTGAATATTTATTTTATTTTATTATATTTGGCAAGCTTACGGCTTAATTAACAAAATACATATAACGTATTTTCTATTTGCAATTTACAAGCTTCCACATGTAGAAAGAAGACAGTGCTGATATCTAAAATAATGCATATTAAATAGACTAAGACACCTTGATTATTTAAAAAAAAATTGGATCTAAAAATATTTTCGACATTTCTAGTGCTACTGCAGAATAGATTTTATTTTATTTTTATTTTATTTTTTCTCTGTTTAGGGTAATTACATCATCATCATCAACAACAGCCTTTAATAGTCCACTGCTTGACATAGGCCTTCCCTTAGAAAGGAGGTTTTGGCCTACTATACCACGCTGGCCAGACGGGTTGGTATAGGGTTTGTTTCAAGTTTTCCTTCTCTCTGCAGTGCTGTTGTCCTGCGTAGATTTCTCCCTTAGTCGCCTCTTACGACACCCACGGGATGAATAGGGGTGGTGACACTCTGTATTCTTAATCCGTCACCACACGGACCGGATAATTACAGCTAGCATTATTAAAAAACACATAAGACATAATACATAAGTATCTGATGGCCATTTACAAATATCCGCGATTAGAAAATACACGCGTAACATTTAATTAGAAGTCAGTAAAGAAAGACAAAGCCAGCACACGTGGTCAAGCGAAAAATTTCTTAACTAACATTTTTTAGTTAGTAGATTGATTCGTTCATTATGGTTTAATCTATTGAACGACCTGGGCCTCAATTCTGCTATTTTATGTTCACGCCAAGCCAGTGTCATACCACTGACACGCTATTGAGATGCCATAGAGTGGCCATTGGCATCGTTATAAATATCGGTAGTTATAAAAATATTTAGTTTTTTGAGGAAATGATTTTTTTTATTATAATAAATTATTAAAATGTGTGTGTGATGGCATCTCAATAGCGTGTCAGTGGTATGACACTGGCTTGGCGTAAATAGCAGAATTGAGGCCCTGGTCTTGGTGTAGACCAAGACCAGGTCGTTCAATAGTCGGTCGGTCGGTCCTGGCTATAATCATAAATGGAGTTACCCAGGGGGAAAGCCGCTGACAACTGTAACACAATTTACATTAGTACGGTCGTCAACAAAGAACTCTTATATCATTGAGAATGTATTTGTTTTTATTACATTTGTATTACCATATGAAGTAAGAGAAAAAATCCGGCTCGAAGGACCAAATATCCCGTATATTTGGTCCTTCGAGCCGGACCGGCTACCGTACCAACCAGCACTCGTATCTAAAATACAACCTAATTATAGATAGTTCAACTCAGTATTCGTGTGGTATTCGTCTTGCTCGTACGACTGCCGCGTCACTGCCACACGTATGAAAGTTGTATATTTACAAGCCCACGCACACATAGGGCCGCGCGCACAACTGAGTTGAAATATCTATACGTGTATCGAGCGGGCACCGTAGTGAACCGAACAATACTCGTACGTAACCTACGCCTAAGTACCTAAATCCCTAAATTTCCTAGCTAGAATAAAGTATTATTATTATTCTCTTTATTTCATTAATTATTTTAAATATAATTATATCCAAAAACAAAAAAAAAATACATTTAAAAATATAAAAAATAGTGTCCCATCGGTATCGGGTACAGGGACCAAGATATCGGTGGTTAGGACTCCAGAGACTACGTCACAATACGTGCCGTATCGAGGAGAACTGCTTTCTGCATCAGGCCCTTAATCCAACTGCCTAACGCGAGCCTCTGAAGATGTTGGTCGAGGCTCTTAGCAACTAATCGATGGTTATTGTTATTATAATTATATCGATAATTACTGTGGCAAAATGGAACGTGGAGTAGATTACAGGAACGCAAACTTCTGGTAAGCATATTAACTTTAACTTTATTTTATTTATTTTATTTTTACTTATTTGGTACAGTTACAGACAACAGATCATGCCTCACACAGTAATAAGTAACAGCGTATAATTTCAAATCTGAAGTCCAATTAAAACTATACACATCATTCACAATCGCGGTGATAGAGCTTCAATTAGGTGTTAAACAAACGCAAAAAAAGATTATTAAATAAGAAAATGAGATGCAGCAAATTGAATAATTAGTTATATCTACAAATGTGTTACTATAATTTTACATTGATAGGTTTATACATTTCAGATTTAAGTAAAAAACACTTTAATACATTTATACTATCATTAAAAATAACATATATCCTAACTTTAACTTTAATATTGCTTAATACTTACGTGTTTGTCTAGTAACAGTTTTGAGAATATTAATGCTGTCTGTGAAAGATTTTGTCTTCAATAATTTGTTCAAACTCTTTATAGCGTCACCGATGTCTGAAAAAATAAAAATAAATACATTAATTTTATTTTTATAACAGTCTAAATTGATATTTTTATTAATAATAAGTGTTATCCCATGTGGGGATCGAACCCACAACAATCAGCGCAGTAGGAAGCAGCGAGGTGACCGCTTAAACATCTACGCCAGTCACAAGGAAGGTTTGCGTCAAGCAGACCGGTCATAAAAAGGATTCAATCAAACTCTTTGTAATGTCACCAATGATATTATATACAAACAACAGGTAGATACGCCACCAACACACAAAACGCGAGGGTCCTGATTAGGACCACTGCAAGTGAGCACACGTACTAATTAAAAAATCCATAAATTGCTTTCCTGTGTATTCCGAAAGTGCACAAATTCCGATAAAACGGTAAATAAAGATATAAAGGAATATCATACCACAGGTAAGTGTATGTTTTGTTCTAAAATCTATTAATAGATGTATTTACGGTTCTGGAAGATGTTTTGAGTGTGCAGTAGGTATGAATATAACATATCTTCCGTAAAATTACATTGAATGTTACACAATACAGCGATCACAAATAAAATTGAAAAATAACATAGAAAACCCGGCCAAGTTCGAGTCGGACTCGTACACGAAGGGTTCCGTATTATCTATAAAAACGGCAAAAAAATCACGTTTGTTGTATGGCAGCCCCCCTTAAATATTAATTTTATTATTTATTTTTAAAGTGAATATATAACTAAACATGCTGTAAATATTTCAAGCGTCTACCTGTTGTCGTTATCAATATCGAGTAAAAACGAGCACGAAAAAAAATCACGTTTGTTGTATGGGAGCCCCCCTCAAATTTTTATTTTATTCTGTTTTTAGTATTTTTTGCTATAGCGCCAACAGAAATACATCATCTGTGAAAATTTTAACTGTCTAACTATCACGGTTCATGAGATACATCCTGGTGACAGACGGACGGACGGACAGCGGGGTCTTGGTAATAGGGTTCCGTTTTACCCTTTGGGTACAACGGAACCCTATTACTGAGGTACGTTAAGGTGTAATTACCCAATGGTGACGATGGATAAAAATAATTTAATTTCCTTTCAGTTAATTTTTCTTATTTTCTTTATGATTTTTACAATTTGTCTCTAATCTTAAATTGAAAATATTTTATTTAATAACTTCGATAGATTTTCTAGAAAATATATTTTTAAAATCAAATTATTTGGCGCCAAACATCCGCCATTTTGTTTGAAACACCGAAATTCATTAAACTGTTTAAACTACAGCGTGCCAAAGAAATACACACATATATACCATAGAGATATAATTATATAGTTAACAAGAGCCCCAATCTTGCAATATAGGCAACGAGAGAGATGGATGATAGAAAGTACCCTCTATCTCTTATTAGTCGAGCTCTGATGTTGGTTGGGGAAATTTCTAATCTCTCTGTTCTACGATCAAAACCATGCCCACTTCACGATGGCCAATCAAGGCTTAGCTAAACAGAGACAGAGGGATACCATTAGGCATATATCTTTCTCGTTGCCTGTATTACTTCCACTTACAGGCAGCTGTACCCCGTGTTCTCTCTATGTTTATATCTCTATGATACATATATTCGAAAAACATATCCCTTCTGGGGTAGTCTGTAAAAACAAGTTTATATTTATTTATTTATTGAGCCTTCTTACAAACATATTGCATAAGGCGGACTTAATGCCTCGGGCATTTTCTTCCAGTCAAACCTTTGGGTGTTACAAAGCTGTGTGTGGCAGGTGTATATTTGGGACAGGTAAAGATGAGACTGAATTACGAAACGTTACAATGGCAGAAGAAAAAAACCTACAGATATATAAGTACTAGGTATACATACATATGTATATTTACATACGTACATAAAAACTTACCAACGGTCCTGGTTCCCAATACAATGAGATTAAAAGCTCCTTTCATATCTGAAATTAAAAAAAAAATGTAAGTTGACAGTCAGAATATTATTTTTTAATAAATTTTTAGCTACAAAACTCACCGATTTCAGGCAGGAGTACTTTCAGTAGTCGTGGGAAATCTGCAGGACCCACTCCTCCCGTCAGCTTTAAAACTTCCAGTTTGAAGCCTTCGACACCTGAAATATACCATTTAGTTAATAATAAAGCCATAAATTTTGTCTGTTTGTTTCTATATTAACTGATAATTGTGTCACTAACCACTGCCGCCCATGGACTAAAGTTCTGAACTAAATCTTAATACCTTCATATGTAAATATCATGGGTAAAGAAACCTTTTGGAACAAAATATCACTACTATAGTTGCTATGGTCCGTGTGTGACGGATTAAGAACACAGAGTGTTACCACCCCTATTCATCCCGTGGGAGTCGTAAGAGGCGACCAGGGGGCTGACAGCTTTAGTTCAAGCACGATGGTTGTGGCGCTACTGTAGCGTCGTAGTTCGCCATTTTGTGTTACGTCGAAAACTTGCGTAAGTGTGTGTATATCATTGACCAGGGGGCTGACAGCTTTAGTTCCAGCACGATGGTTGTGGCGCTACTGTAGCGTCGTAGTTCGCCATTTTGCTAGCTTGCTACATTATACTAATCTGTGGAGGCGACTAAGGGAGCAAACTACGCAGGACAACAGCACTGCAGGGAGAAGGAAAACTTGACATAAACCGATAGCTTTTAACCCGTCTGGTCAGCGTGGTATAGTAGGCCAGAACCTCCTTTTTAAGGAGAGGCCTATGTCCAGCAGTGGACTATTAAAGACTGTCGTTGATGATGATGAAGGATGAATTGAAAAGAGGATATTATTTAATAAAATATTTTCTTATGTAAAATATCTTACCACTGGTATGTGCGATATGCTTGAAATAGTCCGCAACTTCGTACGCATCTGGAAAAATACATTAATTATTAAAATAATGCCATTGCTTTATAGAAAACCGCCATATAATTTAAATAATTCGGTTATTTTAAATAAAAAGACGTGTGGCACTCGGGGACTGCCGCGGTAAAGCTATTGCATAGCATTTTGTACCAACTTATGCAATTATAATTATTTATTTATTTTATTTATGCAGTATTTCTTTTTCTTTGATATTAATTCAAGTTACACTTTTTGAGCGTGGTGACCGATAAGAAAACATTTTTTTTTCTTTTATTAAATAAAAATATTGAAGTATATATTATAATTTGTTTTTATATAAATAAATAAAAAATATTATTATTAAATCAAATTACATATCTATGTAAGATTTTTCTGCATTATGTTGACGAAATTTCCTTTGACGTTCAGCATTTGATTTTGGTACTGTTTTTTGTTTTGTTTTTAGCGTGAGGTTTTTTTTTCGTTACGGAATTTCTGGATTCGGTCCCCGCGCTCAAGGCCTTCGATAGAAACTATGCAATAGCTTAAAAAAAAACTACAGTAACATTATTTACTCGTTGCAGACTTGGTCCTAATTTGTTAAAGAAATTTAAATTTAATAATACCTTGGAACATCTTGCACACTTTACTAAAGGCTATTACTTTACTAAACACGAGACCAGAAGGCCAATTAAACCAAAAGTCTAAGATAAAAAAAAGGGTAAGACTCATTGCGGAGTCGCACATAAACATTTAAAATCTTGGTACCTAAATATGACCGCGTTGACAACTTGTAAATAATGTTATTTATTTTATTGTAAGAAGACTGATAAAACATTTTGCTTCAAGAAAAATATCATTAAAAAAGGTTGCTTATAACAAGCTTCCACATACAATGTATGTATAAGTATGCGAATAAAAAATACATTAAAAAATGACAAACCAAAAAACTTAAAAGAAGGTAATATAAGAGCAAAAAGAACAATGGCGAATTCGTAGTTGAGTACAATTTGAGCGTCTTTAAATGTCATTCAAAGAAAACTAATTCCAGTAAATAATCTACGTTTTTTTAAACTATCATCTAAGTTAGTAAAACCCCAGGAAAAGTAAAAAATATTATAAGCTCATTTGATTGTTTTAATTTCGTTTATCAGTTTAGTGTTACCATTTTACAGCCATGTTTTTCAAGTAGTGGAAATACTGTCCAATAAAGTATCGTAATATGGTAATCACTTAATAGTAATATGGTAATCAGATAATAGTTTTATAATTCTAAGTACTGAATCAATAAAGAATATAGTTTGTGGTGCATTATTAAACGCATTATTTACGTATTTGAAAATCCTGTAGAGGAATATAAGGAAGGAAAAAAATGTGGCAACTGCAAGCTGAAAAAAAGCTAAGGTTTTTTGACAACTTGACAGATGTTTGCGCTCTTTGTTTAAAAACAACTGACGCGACTGGCGGCAAATGGCCGCCACCGATTATATTAGTTTAGATTTAGAATTTACAAATATTTATAAGGAGAAATATATTAAATGGCTAATATTAGTATAATTTGCAGTAGGTATATCTTATTAAAGTTATTTTATTAAAGTTAGTTCATTCATATTTGCAATAATTTCTCATTTATTCAAATCATCTGACGAGTCATTCAGTAGTGTGAAAGAGAGATAAGATGAGTCTCTCTGTCTGCGCAATCGGAACAGGCATAAAGTACCAACCCCTGTAAACAGTAAGCTAAGTTTTTTATGGCCTAAAAATCAAACGAGCAGACGTAGACGTATCCATTGACACAACTCAAGAGACACAAGTGTTTTGTCGCCAGTTGAGTCACCCCCTCTCAGGTGTTTAGAGGGGGAGAGCACCTCACTCACTTGGTATATGAAAAAAAAAGTGTGCGTCTCGGGAAACCCAACACAAGTGATAACTTAAACTAATCTAAGTTGAACTATTTAATATTGAAATTGTTTAACTTAAGAAAAGCTTAGGTTATTACTTAAATTTTATGTAACGCGTCTGTCCGAAATACGGCTAGCGCTGTGGGTTAGAGTGAGAGAAGAGGAGCCTGCTTACCGCTGCCGTATGCGTGAAGCCAGACAGAAAGGCGCCGTAACGCGTTACGTAACGAAGCGGTTTACCCTCCCATTAGAAGTTATCACTTCAAAAATTGTTTAATTGGTTTTCTATGAGCCCGTGGTATCACTCTGGTAGATCTGGCCTATATATTCTGATGCATGGCTCTCCCACGGTATAATAAGAACTTCACTACATTTATTTACTTGGTTAGGTAATTCCTGATATGTATTACCTTTCTCCCCAGAGATCTTCTGCAAGGTCTCGTAAACTCCGTCGAAATTATCATGTCCTATTAACGGCTTCAGTGCTTTGTAAGCATCTAACACATCTGAAAGTGAAAAACATGTAATAAAAATTAATAGTTCGGTCATAGATGAGGAAGGAATAATTCAGTTTATGACCACGGTCAGTGCAACATACGTGTTACATTATGGGACAAGAAAGTGAAAAAAAGTTGGAAAAAATTGAATGTTTTTGTACCAACAAATTTTACTAACCTTTTTTGTACCTTTTCTTTATTATGATTTTATTTTGTACGATTTTTTTTTATTTATTATTTATGATAAAATGTGTTTTTCGTCAACATTAAGTTTTATTGATATCAACAATTTAATAAATTTACCGTCTAACTTTGATCTTTCGACGACCAGTAGATTGGTTTTATCAGAAAGAACAGCTTATCTATATTGTCTATTATTGTTGATTGACAGGTTATATGTGGTTCTTCGAACAAAAAATGGGGTGATTAAAATGTACTAATTGTACTGTCGGGAGGAAGGGGGGGGGGGGGGGAGAAGGAAAAATGAAATTGTAATTCTGAGAGGAACACTGGGACGGATTTTAGTCGGTAAGAGTCCGACTGACCCCTTAGTCCCTCCCCCTCCCCACCCTGGGCGAAGGACCTTCACTTGGATTTGCCACTCCGTTAACAAAAAAAAAGGTTTAAAAAATATTAAGTATTTTCTCATATGTACATCATCTGTGCTCTTGCCTTCATGCTAAATATGACAGTAATTTCGTGCAAAAGAGACGGAAATGTGCTACAGGAAGCCTCTTGTAACACACATCCGTCTCTTTTGCACGCTATTTGATTTGACCAATGAGCGCGAGGCCCTATAGTTGTTCGTCAGATAGTTACCAATAGGTGAGATGTCGGATGTTACACAGCATATGACCATAGTAAAGCTCGCGCCTTTTTATAAATTACGAAGATAGTTGAGGAGTTCCATCTACTAGAAGAATTAACTTACCGATCTCATTCGTGATTTGTCTCAAAAGCTCTATCACAATGTTGATATCTGAAAACAAAATGTTTGTAGACATTAAACTAAGAACAAGAAAAATAATCCCGGCAATCTCGTGCGCGACCGTCCCGCGGGGTGACAGACAGTGGCGGGGGCGAGGTAGCGCGTCATTCTAGCACACGGCTACACACGATTCCCTTCCCCGCTACACCACCCGCTACCCGCTGACATCTGGAGTACCTCGTCCCCGCCACCGTCTGTCACCCCGCTGGACGGTCGCGCACGACGTTGATGGACTATAGCTAACAAGTCCATAGGTAGTCACTTTATGAAACACAAAAACCTATTCAAAATGGCTGCAACGGTTTTGGATGAGTTCATTAATATTTACACGTCGTACACAATGATAATATTTTAAATAAAACTTAACAAAATAATGCAAATAGTTACGTCACTAGCCAATGTTTAGTCAATAATATTTTCATATGTGGTTAATATTTAACAGCTCAGTTTTTTAGGGTTCCGTACCTCAAAAGGAAAAAAAGGAACCCTTATAAGATTACTTTCTTGTCCGTCTGTCCGTGTATCACCAAAGATTTTCGCCGGGACAGATAGACCTGGCAAGTTGAAATTTATACCAGATACTGAGGTCTATGATCCCTATTAGGTGTATAAAAATTAAGGTCCTGAATCAACACGATAAAAAGATATGGGCAAATTTCGATTTTCGAGAAAACTTGTAAGTACCAAAATTTAGGTTTGGTACTTACAAATTTACGCGAAAATCTAAGTAAAATCTGGGTAGGTACGGAACCCTAGGCGCACGAGTTCGACTCGTGCCTGATCGGTTTTTTTTTTGTATTTGTTTTTTAAAAGACAACTCCCGCATTAAGAATATATCCTGTGTCGCGGGGGAGTTTACAAACATACATAAAACGGACATAAAGTACACCCAAACTCAGAACAACAATTTGTGGATCACACAAAGTGTCGTCCCATGTGGGGATCGGACCCACAACACTCAGCGTAGTAGTGAGCGGCGTGGCGACCGCTTAAACCACTATCCGTGGAGTCTATTTAATAATAATATTAACCTCACACATCTCACACACGGCTGTCTGATCCCAAACTATGCAGAGCCTGTGCTATGGTAGCCAGACTGCTGATAAACATACTATTATATCTAAATACATACATATTATAGATAAATTACACCCAGAGACAGAAAAAATGATCGTGCTCATCACACAATTATTTGTCCTAGGTGGGATTCGAACCCACGACCCCCGGTTTAGCAGTCAGGGTCACTAACCACCAAACCAACAGTCCTGTCATCTCCCGTTTGTGTGCCGCCATCTTGAAATCTCAGTAATATAAGCTATAACCTAACTGTTATCTTATTACAAAAAGAAAAGAGTGAATACTGATTTATGTTTTAAATTCCAAAATTTTAAATTCCTTATTTTTAAATTAAGATACTTACGCGGAGTTTCATCCAGCAGCTTCAGAAAGTCCACGAGAAACTTCCAGGTTCTTGATCCTCGAGTTTTTATCAAAAACTCGTAAACTTGGTGTTTATCTGAAATTAAAAAAAAGTATAAACATCACATATGTACATAGTCTTTGGTTATATAAGATTTCATTTTTAATTATGAATAGAGTTTTATATTCTGTGAATTATAATGATGAAAATATATAATATTATAGGTACTAGGATAGTTTAGACAATTAAAAATCCTAAAATGTTAATTTCAGTCCATTTATTAAGAAACTAGCTGACCCTGCAAACGTTGTTTTGCTATTTACATTATTTAAAATAAAACAATTAATTCTTAAAATCCGTTCTTAGCTGACCTCTACTCGGTGAAAAGAATTATGTTCCTACCAAATTTCAAGTCTTTAGCTCTAATGGTTCCAGAGATATCGTGATGAGTGACTATATACGTGGAAATCTCTTATATATATATATATACAGATTAAATTTTATAATTTCATTTAAAAACAAAAACATTTTTGATCTGTTCTACAAAAATACTATATGGAACTAGGCAGAGCCTGTACTATGGTAATCAGACTGCAAATAAACATACTTATACCGGGTGTAAGGGACATCGTAACGAATACTGAAATAGTGTATTCAGACTGATTCCAATGATTTTCGTCTCAAAATCATGGTCTGAATACACTATTTCAGTATTCGTTACGATAACCCTTACACCCTGTATATTTCTAGCTTCGTACACATTTTTTGTTTTTTTTTTCCAATAAATATAATAATAATAATATATCTCACACACGGCGGTCTGATCCCAAACTAGGCAGAGCCTGTACTATGGTGACCAGACCGCTGATAAACATACTTATATATTTTTAAATACATACATATTATAGATAAATTACACCCAGACACAAGACAAAGGACTGTGCTCATCACACAATATTTGTCCTGGTTGGGAACCGAACCCACGACCTCCAGCTTAACAGTCAAGGTCACTAATATTTTCGAATCGTAATAAGTCGTAAATGGAAGAACAATTTTGTATCTACCCACTTTAGAAAATAAAACAAATTATTATTAAACTCATGTCTTTTGATTGTTTATTTCAATCTTCTGCTTATTTATTTGGATAAGAAATAATAAGAAGATCAAAAGCTAACGTATCTTACCACGCAGTCCTGTATGGTTTTCTATATATTTCACTGCAGAAGCTTCATCTGAAAAAGAAGAAAAAATATGTACTTGAAAAGAAGATTTACCAATTATACTCTCTTCTTCTTTTTTGCTTTTTAATCTCAACATAATGGCTTTGTATTGTATCAAAAACAACAGTGGCACTGATTACGTCATCCGTGCAGTTAGTAACAGTAGTACATAACTTACAACTTTATTGCGTAAAAAAAAACATTATTATTATTTATTATACTATGCCTAAATTGCTTAGAGAATTAAACCAATTTCTTTTTTAGATTTTGGTTAAATGCTCCAAGCCATAGAACAGTGAATTAACGTTTATTCACTGTTCTGTGCTCCAAGCTTAATTATAATAAACAAATTCTTTAAAAATTCTTAATTATTCACCAGGTATATCTTCTTCAAATTTAACTAATCTTGAGTATAGGTAATTATAATTATAAAGATTTACTGAAATAAATACACAAAACAAATAATATCGAACTGAGAACCTCCACTTCTATGAAGTCTAGTATTTTTTTTGTGTAGTACACGTTTTAAAAACTAATCTTTCTTAAAACCGTTTAAGATTACTTTACACTTATTTATATAAGTATAATTAATTAAATATAAAGTGTTGAATTTACGCCAACTATTCATTTAAAAAACAGTCCTTGCCGTTCATAGAAATACAGGATTACACGGCCTCGCAGGAATACACGGACTTACTTTCACTTGGTGTATATAGACTACCGGTGCCTAAAATCAAAACCAGCTTTGCCAGACGTTTTAAGGATAACTATATATACAACAAGGCAGCTAGTGCATTTGAAATTTTCATCCTCATCACCTGGGCCTCAATTCTGCTATTTTATGTTAACGCCAAGTCACTGTCATTCCATTGACAAGCTATTGAGATGCCATTGAGACGCCATTGACATCGGTCGAAATATCAGTATTCTACTAACATCAATTCACAGTGTCAATAGACTGTCGATATAGTAGTATAGGTCATCAATGGTGATATCAACAACATTACCATACCTGGAAAATTGAATATATCATTTTCTAACAAATTTTAAATGTACCGTTTACCAAACTATTACAAAGACATCGACGACATTTGTATCAGTGACAAGTCATCGGAGGCCATTACATAGTTAGTAGAATAGGAAAAGTGCAAAACTATTCCGACGACGTTCCATCGACAACCTACTGATACAATATTAAAATAGGAGAATTGAGGCCCTGGATAGTTGGCGCTCCACTACTGTAAACTTTTCGAGACACTTTTTGCCCCGCACAACCAATTTTTTGGAACGGGTTTTCGTCTGCGGTATTTCCGGGTCGATTCGACCTTCAAACCTTCAAGAAAATAGCGTACTCCTTCCTAAAAGGCAGGCAACGAGTTTGTGACTCCTGAGTTGCAGACGTTCATGGGCGGGTTCAAACACAGAGTCTTTGTCAGGTATCTCTGCCAAATAAATGTAAAAAAAAAAACGATAATCCGTCAGATCTGTCACTAAGCAGAACCTGTGTTATGGTAACCAGACTGCTGATTAATACATACATTAAATACATAAAAATACGTACATATTATAGATACATTACATCCAGGCACAGAACAAAGACACAGAGTGTATTCCAGAGCAGTACACCGCTTACACACAGAACGAAGAGTTCACGAAGTCGGAATTGTGGGAGGGACACAGGAGATGATCGTGCTAATCATGATATTATTTGTCCTGGTTGGGAATGGAACCCACGACCTCCAGCTTATCAGTCAGAGTCACTAACTACTAGACTAACGGGACCCGTCATAGATGTTTAAGTATATTGACCTTAAGCATCGTTTCCCTAAACTCAGTTCACGTCATAATTAAAAAAAATATTTTCTTCTAGAACTGTTTACTCAAATGTGTAGTTGTGGCCTCGCAAACACATGTTCAAATACAGTTATTTGGAATTATTCTACTAGTTTTGGTAATGCTTAAACGTGGACAGCTAATTTGAGCGTTTGGAAATAATAATATCATTTTTTCGGACATTTGACACACAACGCCATCTAGTTTCAAACTAAGCAGAGCTTGTACTATGAAAGCTAGATTGACTGATACAATACCTATATGTGAAAACATACATATTATACATAGAAAACAACCAAACTCCGAAACAAATATTTGCAGATCATACACACATTTGGTCCGACCCGGAATCGAACGAAGCACAGCAGTCGCATACATTACCGAGCCACTACCGAGGCAGTAAAAAAAATGTTATTAATTTTTTAAAAAAAAGTATCACTACTGATAATTGTTATAAGCTGTAATCGTCGTTCATTAATTATCCACCCTTAGAAAAGATTTTTTTCTTTTAAACTTGAATATATAATATATTCTATACGACATACACACAACGCCATCTAGTCCCAAACTAAGCAGAGCTTGTACTATGGGTACTAGACAACTGATATAAATACATATATACTTTTTTTTGTAAATACATACATATTATACATAGAAACACCCAGACCAAATCAAACATCAAATGTTCATGCACACAAATGTTTGACTTGAGCGGGAATCGAACACGCGGCCTTTGGAATAGCAGTCCGTTACACAAACCACTACGCCATCCAGTCGTCATGGGACCATGAATGGGACAAAACGGGAAAGATATCCTCTCAAATAAAAATATATATTTTTAACATGAGCTGCCAAAGTTTCAAGTTTGTAGCCCCCAGGGGTTTAACCTTTCAGGGAACATGGGGTTGCCACACGGGGGGGGGGGGGGTCGTCTACTCGTCTGTAGATGACCCGAGGTATGTCGGGGCACCAGGGACTTCCTTTCTAGGGTATACCTGGTTCCCCGGCTATTAGTACCCGAGACGCCGTGCGGTTTTAGTCGGTTCGAGTCCGACATGCCACCGACAGGTGGTATCCGAGGGGATTTCCGCACGGAAAAAAAAAGGGGTTTAACCTCTGCGTTACTGAATCAGTCAGTCATTGCAGGTAATTTTTTATATAGCTAGTTGGGGTGGAATAAAATCGTAATCATTGTGAAAAATCATATGATTTAAAAATCATATCATCACACCAGTGTCTTATTTACAAATACATTTATACCTATTTTTTTTTCTAAATATTTGACAAAACAGAACTTCTTGCTATTAAGCGTGTTGATCTATGACTTAGAGTCTACAGTCATAAGAGACGATTTCAAACAATTTTTTTTTTTAAATGAAATAATGATATTTTGAGATTGTTGACAAAAATTAACACTGATATGGGATTTGTTTTTATTAAGCACTGTTCGTGTGGTGTCGAATTAAGAATACGGAATGTCACCACCCCTATTCATCCCGTGGGTGTCGTAAGAGCCGACTAAGGGAACAAACTACGCAGGACAACAGCACTGCAAAAAGAAAGAAAATTTGAAACAAAGCCCATACCAACCCGTCTGGCCAGTGTAACCAATAGTAGGCGAAACCCTTCTTTCGAGGGAGAGGCCTATGTCCAGCAGTGGACTAGTAAAGGGTATTGATGAATCATTCGATAAGCTTTCTGTTGCAAAGCGAATTAATCAGGTACGGAATAACTTACCATGGTGTCCAGTCAACTTATGAAGGAGTTCACTGCATTCGTGATGACCTGGAATTTAATAGAAACATGTTAGTTTATTAGGTAAATGCATTATACACAGGCGCTTTGCACAGACGCTGCGGGTCACTACAAATCTCGGTAACGACTTCCCATCGGGCCCGGTACTAATCGGGGATTCCCGGAATAGAGTAAAAAGAGAGTAAATCTTATTAGTGTGATCGGAAAATATTATATTTTAATGTTAATTTATATACAGTACTAGCTTATGAACTAGCTTAGCTATCGCGGTAAAAATATCTAATTATAAATGTTTTCGGACATCTGACACACAACGCCATCTAGTTTCAAACTAAGCAAAGCTTGTATTATAAAACTACCTTTCATAGTACAAGCTCTGCTTAGTTTGACTTATAGAATACTTAGTTTGACTGATAGAATACTAATATACTTTGAATTTGTAAATACATACATATTTTACATAGAAAACACCTAAACTTCGAAACAAATATTCGTAGATCATACAAACATTTGGTCCGACCCGGGAATCGAACCTGCAACTGCACCACCGAGGCAGTCAGAGTATCTGTTACTCGCTGATAATGTAGCTTTCCACTGGTGAAAATATAATTAAAATCGGTTTCGTGGTTTAGGCGTGAAACAAACAAACAAACAATCTTTCTTTTACATTTAAAACAAAGTATTGAAAGTATGGTAGTATGGATGTCGAGGAACTAATGTAATATTCCTTCAAGACAAAGGAAACCTTGAAACCTTCAAAAAAAGAGAGTACTCCTAATTGATAGTCCGGCAACACGCCTGTGACTCCTGAATGGTGACCTGTCTGATTGTTTGTCCCTTATCATCATCATCATCATCATCAAGAACCTTTAATAGTCCACTGCTAGACATAGGCCTCTTCTTAGAAAGGAAGTTTTGGCCTACCATACCACGCTGGCCCGACGGGTCGCTGTTGGGTTTGTCTCAAGTTTTCCTCCTCTTTGCAGTGCTGTGTTGCATAGTTTACTCCCTTAGTCGGCTCTTACGACACCCAAGGGATGGTGGGTGGTGACACTCCGCATACTTAATCCGTGACCACACGGACGTACCTTGTAATGATACTGTCATGGGGCTACGCGAAAGTTCGTTTAACCGCGCAATTCCGGGAACCGTTTAACGGCACGGAACAATAAGTTCTATAGTAATACGCATAGGATCTAAAATGGATTGTCGCGCGATTGTCTTGTTTACATGTGAAGCGAATTTGTATTTCTCGGAAGCGAACGGTTCTCGTAGAGATTGGGAATTGCTGGAATGTTCCTTTACGAGTATTATAAATGCGGACATGTCTTCGTTGGAGTGAGTTCAAACTACAGTTCGTGATAAACATCGAAGTGAATATAAGTGTAACCCAGCGACTTCGGCGATCATTCCGGACTATTATTGAGTATTGTGTGAACGTTTTAAAGTGTCGTAATAATAAAGTCTCTTTAGTCATCAGGAGGCTTATTATTCCGAATCCACGAACCCCAACACGTAACAATATGAAAGAAGAAAGGATCCTGCTACCAGGCTAGTTTGGTCAGCAGTTAGTATTAGGACGTTATCTATATATATAAAAATGAAACCCGGTTTCCTTGGTCACGGCATCACGCGTGAATGGCTGGACCGATTTCACTAATTCTTTTTTTGTTGTATTTGTTATTATTAGGAGAAGGTTCTTACGGAAAAAAATATTAAGAAATCTCTCAGAAATATTGAAAAATATACATTTAATTTTGCATATTTAAAAAAGCGCGCGTAACGAATGTCAATGGCTGCGTTCAGGTTTACTAAGTTCTGAGCAGGGCTGACTTTATCGACCAAAAAATAATTTTAGACACACTTAAATAAATATGTCTTGCATTGTTTTATTATAGATTTAAAAAAAAATTGGTTGCCTGTAAAGTCGGTATACGGGCGAAAGTTTTACGTGACAACGACTTTGAGTGGTAAAATAATTTTAATGTGAATATTCATTCGTATAGTAGGAAGAAGGATGAAATAATAGTAACAATTTAAAACATTTATTTATACAAAGAATTATATTTAAAACATTAATTTATACAAAGAATCTCGCACTTTTTATGTCTGTCTCTCTCGCTCTTAGGCGGGCTAACCATGCCCGAGTGGAAGGGACGCGTGCCTCTCACTCGCTCTCATTGTGAGCGCATAACGTGAGCGGAGCGTAACGCAGTTTCTTGAAGTGTCACCCGGCAAACCAATTTATAAGACGTTGTCACGTCAAAAATATTGTTACTTTAAGTTGTTGCTACAAGATATGACAAGAACTTAGTAAACTTGAACGCAGCCAATGTCATTCACAGCCATAGACTATATTGAAAGAGCATTGTTTGTTCGGAAACGTGGTTACTTAATTAAATTCGAGCATCATTTGTTCGGAAACGTGATTACTTAATTAAATTCAAATTAATTTTTAAAAATAACTCGCCACGGAATAGTTATGTATAGATAAATAATATTAAATGTTCCGATTTTATGACGTTACTAAGGTAAAATATAGGTAGGCGCACCTAAGTGTGGTCTGAGTATATGAGTTTGATTTCAGAACGTATTATACAAACTTCGCATAACCTATTTAGTAATCTGTGGTAGTACATTGGCTTTATAAAAAAAATCTGTGGTAATCTGTAATAGTGATGTGCCAACTCGGAAAAAATATTACTCGATTTAACTCGAGTGAAATCCAATCATTTATTGAAGTATTTAAAATAATATTTACTACCGCGCAGGTCCTTTTTAGGTATAGCGAGACCAGGAATTTAAGGATTCATTTTTATATGGAGGATATTATAGATTCCAGTTCAAATTGAATAGGTACTCATACCTAAGATAGGTCAGCTATACAAAATAAAGTAGTGCATCATTGCTACGCTAAGGCGGTACGAAGTTCGCCGGGTCAGCTAGTAAAATATATATTTATTCTAATAGGCATAACCAACAAGTCCTTTTTTGCAATATTGTAAATCGCGCTGACTCCAGCTATAATTGAGAAAAGGGCGGGAAGGTGATGATGTAAAATTCTTAACTGTGTTTAATACTTACTATTCGTGCCCAATATTTCTTTCAAATCATCGGAAATGTGGTGTTCTAATTCTGAAAAGTTAAAAAAATGATTAAAAAAAGTGCGTGTGTGTCTGTTTACAATTTACATACGGCAGAAAAAAAACTTCCGAATTTTTTCTTTTATATATAAAATCCCTATAAAATTTTGCCCGGCCCGGGAATCGAACGCAGAAGCAGACCTGAGACGGCGTCGTGACCTGTTTCCCGCGTGTCTGTATAAACTTGAATGGTCTAAAGCCCTCTGTACCTAATGATTTGATTTGGCTGCCTGAAGCGGCCAAGGTTTGCTGGAGTTCTCATGAACTTCCTTCCTAGGGTATACTTGAGTCCCTTGTGTAAGAACCGGCTTTAACAATATATATATGTATAACAGTGTAACAACTATTCTCTGAGTAGATATGCATATAGTCGTAAAATAAACCAATAGGTTTTTATTTTTCTTATAATAACATTATGTAATTATTTATTATTATAAATTTTATATAAAAAAAAATTATTAATATAAACAACAGATTTTTGCTGATTGTTTACTGTAAAAAGTATTTTCTTTTTTTTTCTTTTTAAAGACAACTCCGCACTAGGAATATATCTTGTGTCGCGGGGGAATTTACAAACATACATGGAAACGGACACAAAGAACACCCAGACTCAGAACAACAAAAGTCACAGGTGCGTCGCTGCCCTTGGAGTCCCTTCCGCTCGACTCGAGGGGAGATTTGGGCTCCAGTGACCTCACTCACTCAGTTAAAGGCAACAAAAGAATTGCTTAACACCAGTTTTCTGTGAGGCCGTGGTATCACTCCGGTCAAGCCGGCCCATTCGTGCAGAAACATGGTTCTCCCACTTATAAAATAAATGCAGTTTTGCTTTTAAAGTTACCATGGCCTGTAAGAAACTGAGTGACACAGTGATCCACACCAAGTCATGTCCGCGGTAACCGCTAGCGAACGGATGGAAAGAACTGGGAAAGGCGTCCCTTAGATGATTCATCATAGCGTTGCTGCCATTTGTTTATGAGGTTATTATAGCTACTCCTACCTCTCCTCCTGTGGTGTTTGTGTCTGCTATGCCATTCTGAAATTTCTTCGGATGTCTCAAATTCTTTTCCCTCCTCATGAGTCTCATGCTTGCGGTGGGAGTGGTGCCTGGATTGTTCCCGTGTGGCTAGTGAAGAAACAGAAGAATAATACAGTGATTATTTTTTTTGTTAAAGACAACTACTGTACTAGGGATATATCCTGTGTCACGGGGATTTTACAGACCTGTATGAAATGGACACCAAGAACACTCAGAGTCAGCACAATAATTTGTGGATTACAGAAAGTGTTGTGCTATGTGATCGAACCCACAACACTCAGCGCAGTAACACTCAGCGCAGTAGGAAGCGGCGAGGTGACCGCTTAAACCACTACGCCATCCGTGAAATCAGTACGTTTTTATTGTGGACTGCAAATTCAGAGAGGCTTGCGTGCATCTTGTACGTCAACAGTTATTTGAGAACGTAACTTTTGAACCTATTTTTAACTGCCTTTAAAAAGGAGGTTATCTATTCGGATGTTTATTTTTTTAATGTATGTTCGGGCATAACTCCGTCAAATATAGACATATTATCAAAATTCTTTTTTTGTTCCAAAGGGATTTATTCCGAAATGGTCCTATTTAAATTTCATATATGTAGATCTGATGATGAGTATCGGAGATAAACAACGGAACTTTTCAAAAAATGACAGCAAATCAACCGCGATTACTGCTACGTTTTTAGTGCTCTTTGTTTTTAGTATTGTTTAAGTAGGTTCAAGTTTCTTTAAAAAAGATTTATAATTCAGTGATATTGTTTATTACTCACTCTTCGTAAACATTATGATATTGTAAATAATAGTATAATTTACTTTACATCACATTACATCAACAGCCTTTAATAGTTCACTGCTGAACATATGCCTCTCTTTAGAAAGGAGGGTTGGTACAGGGTTTGTGTCAAGTTTTCCTTCTCTTTGCAGTGCTGTTGTTCTGCGTATTTTTCTCCCTTAGCCACCTCTTACGACACCCACAGGATGAATAGAGGTGATGACACTCGGAACTCTTAATCCGTCACTACACGGATAAGATTTAAGCAAATAAAAAGAATTACGCTCTTTGTAGTGTAGTGATGAGTACAAGATTACTGCATGTATGAGATCGATATTAAAGGAGTATCAGAATATAACCTTTTCTTTTATTGATATTAATAAAAACCTCACACATCTTACTCACTCTCACAATTTGTGGATCACACAAAGTGTCGTCCCATGTGGGGATCGGACCCACAACACTCAGCGTAGTAGTGAGCGGCGTGGCGACCGCTTAAACCACTATCCGTGGAGTCTATTTAATAATAATATCAACCTCACACATCTCACAAACAGCTGTCTGATCCTAAACTAGACAGAGCTAGACTGTGGTAACCAGACTGCTGACAAACATACTTATATATTTCTAAATACACACGTATTATAGATAAATTACACCCAGACACAGAACAAATGATCGTGCTCTTCACACAATACGAGTATATGTCCCTGGTTGGGAATCGAACCCACGGCAGCCTTAGCTTAGAGTCACTCGCCAATAAGTGAAACGGCCCGTCTTCAGTTCATAATTACAATTTATTCTTAAATAAAACAAATTATCAGCTATTCTCAATGGTGTCGGTAACGTTATTATAGAGTATAACTGATGTCTGTCCATTGAACTGCCAAAAAGAAATAAATAAAAATGGACAGACAATAGAAAATAATAGAACCCTGAGTCATACCTGAATGTTCGGCAACTGCTAGAGTTACAGAAACCTGAAATGAAAGAAGAGTGTTTAACACAGGTAACAGAGTTATTTAGAGAGGAGGAACAAGTGTTGTATTCCTCTAACACAGCCCCGGATCTATGGGGAGGAAACCGGGGCACCCGCGCCCGGAGCCAGTTTCAAAGGGCGCCAAAATCTTAGAAATAAATAAAATTGAAGTGTCTGTTTGTAATGTCAAATTTAAAGGTCTTTTTCATACTCACACGGTTATTTGCACGATACCTATGCCTAAAAACCTGTTTTTTTTGTCTGTCTGTCTGTTTGTTCCGGGTGATTGAATAAACGGCTGGCCCGATTTCGATAATATTTTACTACCAGGTAACTGTCTACATAAGGAATAACTTGCTTGGGTATTTTTCCTCTCAGATAAACCCTTTAAAATTTTGCCCGGTCCGGACATCAAACCCACTAAGGCAGCGTTTTTCCAATTCCACGCAAACGAAGTCGCGGGTACCAGCTAGTCATTAAAAAAAAACATGCTCAACAAATCGCCTAGCATGCAACGCACGTTGAAAAAGTTATTGTGTGAAAGATATTAAAGAGAGCAAATCTATTAAAGGGTTCCTATAATAACCAATATATTATTGTAATGTCCCAATCATAAAAAATGCCAACCGCTATATATATTTGTAAGTTTTTTAACGTTATTTATTTTAAACGCTGAAGAGAGGGGGCGCTATAATGAACTTTCTGCCCCGGCTCGAAAAAATCGTAGATTCGAGGCTGCTCTAACACAAAGGAGGGATCCTTCCTAATTGTTGTTCATTGAGGCAGAAATTTAAAGAAATAAATATAATGACAGTGGTATGTCAACATATTTATGAAAATATAATATAATATGTTCATAAAAACAAAAATAGCTTTTTGAAAGGAAGTGATGGACATTCTCTAAATACCAGTTATAGAAATAAAATTGTTGTAATTATTCTGTGTGCCTTTGAACATCAAAATATAAACAAGTCATTTCTAAGTCAATGACTTGTTTATGTTGTTTGACTTGTTCGATTTTATAATATAATCCCAAACAATATTACTTAAATACTAGAAATTAAGTAGTAGAACTTAAGTTTAAACAAATATAAATACAAAATAAAACGTAAACTATGTCAGAAAGCCTATTACTCGATTGTGGATTACAAAGAAGACAAGAATGCTAGGGATTAATTTAGCACAGCCTATTTATTAAATGGAAATGTAATTTGAGCTAGTGTTTTTATTGGTTTTGTTTTATGATTTACTTCACTTTCATTTCTATTTATTCTTCATCTTGTCTTCTCTTCATTGCGTTAATAACTGACATGCTGGCTCACATCAAAACAATGTTGTACTAGATTTAATGATTCCATTATACCTATCTGGTAATTTAAAAATAGAGGCCCTGAATTTCTTTGTTCTGTCTTCTCCTAAGGCTCCACCGTTTTGAAAACGGGAATATTATTATTCTATAGATTAATTTTGCCAAATATTTGACAAAATAGATTATTGCTATTGTTTGTCTATGATTTAGTCATCACGTAAGAGATGTTTTAAAATAATTTAAAAAGAACTTTATGAAATAAAAATATCTTGTCTTGGCTTTGACTTCGATCCGACAAGGTGTTCATGCCTGGCGGGCCGCGGCCCAACGGTTGATGTTGGGCAGTTGTATATATCTATGTTTATCGGCGTGAGAATGTTTCATATCGTGATACAGGATACAGGTACTCCGTAGTTTGGGGTATTTCACTTAGATGGCTCTGAGCTATGGTTTTGTTTCACTGTATGTGGAGGTCGCAAACTTTAGTTATGTCTAAGATAACGGACTTATGCAAAAGTTGCGATTTACGACCTTCAAGAATAGAGTGTCCTTCTACCTAAAAGACCGGCAACGCGATTGTGACTCCTGAGTTGCAGACGTTCATGGTAGACCCAGTAGGTACAGTCTAATCTTAGCATATCCAAGGTTAGCTACAGGTGGGGGAAGGCTAGTATTAAAAAAATGCAAAACCATGTTCATTACTTTTAATTACCATATTATTTAATTAACAGTATCTACATTTTCATGTTTTACCTCTAATTATAAAAGCTTTTGTTTATTCACGTTTTTTGAGGAACGTAGCCATTTTGAATTTATAAGCAGCCATCTTTGATTGAAGAGGGATTCTTAAAGCTCTCAAGTATTTTCTTTAAAAGAGTGCTTACTGGAGTATCGTTTTATTATTAAAAAAATATCGTAACGTCCACGTCTAAACATATTACGCGCGCATTTCTTTTCAGTATAAATCATTTGAACTGCCGCTGTCTTAAAAAAAACACAAACCTTACCGTTCGCCACGTAAAAGTTACAATACCAGTATTTTTGGACATAATACACTTGCACTCACTACCGAAAAAGCTTATGATTTTCGAAAAAGTCCATTTGAGAATTTTGAGAATTTGACAAAAAATATAATTACACCAATATCAAAAATATTATTTAATTGTCTTTTTTATTTTCTTTATTTTCAAACATGCCGAAACCGACTTCTAGGCTTTGAGCTGAATATATCTAGGTAATTGACTTAACTACTTACCGAATTCGGTCACTAAAATAAATTTCTAAACATTTTATAATTCTTTAATATAGAATAAAATAGAAGGTATATAAATCCATTTAAGTAGTAAGTAAATAGTAGAGTAGAAAGCTAGTCGATTTCTTCACTTTTCTTAAGAATTTCACTACAAAGTCCAAATCCTTACACAAATTTACTTAAATTCATCCATTGCTTTTATATCTTCCTCGCTTTACCGTTTTTCTATTATTTCTTCCAGAAAATCTTCAATATTCCGCACAATTTTGTAACACATACGCACTTTTTCTAATAAATCTTCATAAAATTTAATGTTTGTTTAAAGATTAAACACTTACGAAATCCAAACGTTTGCACTTATCCATAAAAGACGCACTTTTTCCCGCCAATATTATGCCATTCATTTTTGAATATTATTAAATATACTTACATACACTAGAGCCAGAAATAATCCTATTATTAATCGCATAGTCGTACAAAACTCGTATTAGTGGACAGATTATTAAATCTGCTATAAACCACTTGGTTAAAATTTTAGTAATACTTGATTTATATAAATTTACGTACAAATATAGTACAGCTGCGTAAATACCGGTGTTTGATTTGGAATAATTGGTAAAATATATAGATTTGTGACGTGATGTGTGTTCAGGTTTTTCGGACGATGTAGGTATATGGCGTAATTTAGTCTCGGCAAAGTAATGAATTAACAAACTAATTTTAAATATAGACAAAGGCTTCATACGTGGGCATATACTTATAAGGTTTGTTCTTGAATCGTCTGTATTGTTGCCAGAATAAAAACTTTTACTGTTACTTTTTATATATTGTAATAATATAATTATAATTATTTATGTTTGTGTTAGTTGTATATATAAACGAGCCCAGGGCATATAATTATGATTTCTTTTTATCGTAAAATTCGTGTACCAATTTAATTATTGAATATTTGTAGATAAAACTTAAACAGTAAATTGGTTCCACAGCTGTCAAAATGACAATAACAAAATCATAATACATAAATATTTAGATAAATTACAGTCAGACGTAGAACAATTATTCATGCTTATCCCACAATATTTGCCCTGAGTGGGAACCGAATCCACGATCTCCGGCATAGCAGTCAGGATAGCCGATAACCGCTAAACCAATAGGCCAGTTGAGATTTATGCTTACATTTTTGTTCTAAATGTTGTTTTTTGTTTTTTATTTTATACCCACTCTGGCACGGTCAGCTGTGGCACATTGTGGCTGCATTGATGAGAAGGAACAAAACTCACTCGAAAAAAAAATATAATTAAAAAAAACACGCTTTTGTAACTAGTCGAACTAAAAAGTAGAAAAGAATTTTCTGTAAGCTCAAAAATAAAAATCATTTTATCGTAATTATAAAAAACGAGTAAGTCACATATACTTCTGCACACGCCTCTTAGTACGTAGTAAAAGACACTACCGTATTTTTAGGTATGGAAAAAGCCGTCAATCCTGAAGATCCTGATCAGAATAATCGGCCAAATTTATCAAATTATTGCATTGTAATCGGTCCTTGATAAGTGTGCGAAGTTTCCATTTAATTCGACGTTTTGAAGTGCGTCAAAATCACGTTCGAAGATTGCGTTTCATAAATACATACCAAGCTAATAAAAGCGTGTTATAGATTAGAACAATCTTAAAAGCGGGTTGTATATCGTGTCAAAATTTGAGCTCAAACGGAGCAGAAGTGTTTAAAGCGTACACAAAACAACTTTTGTATGTACATAGATTTTAACGGCGGGGAAATTTGCATAGCATAAAAGTTGTTCACCGTGTGGTGACGGATTAAGAATACAGAGTGTCACCACACCTATTCATCCCGAGGGTGTCGTAAGATCAGACTAAGGGAGTCAACTACGCAGAACGACCACACTGCAAAGAGAAGGAAAACTCGAGACAAACCCTTTTTTTTTTTTAACGTGTGGAAATCCCCTCGGACCGTCACCCCGCCGGGGTTCTCTGTTCGGCGGGGCGGTATGTCGGACTTGAACCGACTAAAACCACACGGTGTGCCCTCTTTGCGCTTCTATTTTAATGGGGGTCGAGGTTGTTATCGCCTTCTGGACCCCTCCCCTCCCTCCTGGGCACCATACAGCGCCATGGACCGGACAACCCCCGCGTACAGCCGCCTCGTGGGAACACTGGCCCCGCCCAAATTGGGCAAAAGTCGCCCTAGGGCGGAGGCAGTGTCCACCAGCTTTGGACCAAGCTGTCGGAAGTGCTCGTCGAAGAGCCACCTACCGTCTAGGACCAAATCCAGGTACCTCATCTGGGCCCGAACTCGAGACAAACCCTATATCAACCCGTCTGGCCAGCGTGGTATAGTAGGCCAAAACCTCCTTTCTGAGGAGAGGCCTATGTCCAGCAGTCCACTATTAAAGATGATGATGATGATGATGATAAAAGTTGTGTATGCGATTTTTATTTTAGGACCATTTTCAATAAAAATATGCACAATGCTAATTTTGAAATGTGCTCATTTTGCGAAATGCTCCTTTTGAGAAGTGCCCATTATCAGAAGTGCACCAATTGCTGAAAGGAAACCTTTACCTGATAAAAACAGGAAAGCACTTCATTACATTTCGAAATAACCAATATTTAAATTACGCTTCTCCATTCGTATAAGACTAAATGCGATTTACCGTCGTTCGTGCAAATACAATAAATAAAATTTTGTCAGAGCTTTGTTTGTATGAAATTTCAACATTTTACGTCACGGTATTGTTTTAAACAACGTGCAGTCTGCGGTTAGTGAAAGGTATTGTAATAATTGATTAGGTTTTCGAAGCTTTTCAGCGATGAAATTATGATTTATTTTTATAAATGACTCAGATTTTCGTGTTTGTGTATTCGCCATGACACCCTTTTTCTGTTTTTTTTTCCGTCCGGAAATCCCCTCGGATACCACCATGCGGTGGCATGTCGGACTCGAATCGACTAATACCGCACGCGCCGTCTCGGGTACTAATAGCCGGGGAACCAGGTGCCATGACACCCTAAACAAAGTTGAAAAAAGAACATTTTTACAGATAACTAAATGAATGACCTCTCGTCTCAATGACTTACTTTTTTAAACATAATGCATTCGAAATTCAGTTGTCTGTTAAACACCTTTTTTTAAATAGGTAACTTCCGCACTACGAATACCTGTATCATGGAGGACTTTACAAACATTTATGAAACTGACACAAAGAACACCCAGTCTCAGAACAACAATTTGTGCATCACACAAGTGTTGTCCCATGTGGGGATCAAACCCACAACACTCGTCGCAGTTTGAAGCGAGGTGACCGCTTACACCACTACGTCGTTCGTGCAGTTCATTAATTGCACAACAGTTTTAATTAATCTATTGATTGTTATACATATGCAAAATAAAATACAAGCGAGAGATAGATCTAAAACTGTACCTACCAAGTCTCTTAAACACCTCAGTTGTAAGAAATGGGCACACGAACGAACTCGTTTTACCGCTAGCGTTTAATTAAACATTATTTATAACATATAACATTGTGGAAAAACTTAACAAGAAAAAAAAAGTTCTGACTATTTTCTTGGACCTAGCCAAGGCCTTCGATACTGTGCCAATTTCTACCCTCATAATCAAACTTGAAAATGCAGGAATCAGGGGCCCACCACTAGAACTACTAAAAAGCTACCTAACGAATCGGACACAACTTGTTAATATCAACAACTACATTGGCGATGAACTTTCCATCCATTGCGGTGTGCCTCAAGGTAGTATCTTAGGCCCTACTTTATTCCTTGTCTTTATTAACGACCTTTGTAACTTAATCATTCCACACGCAAACATTGTATCTTTTGCAGACGACACGGCCATAACTTTTCATGCAAACACATGGTCTGAACTTGAAACTGCGGCTCAAGGAGGTTTCTGTACTGTTTTAACCTGGCTTGCCTCACACACTCTAACTCTTAACACTACCAAAACAAATTTTATGACTTTCTCGCTTACCCCACTATCTCAACCTAAAAACCCTATAAATCTAATAGCTCACTATTGTCAGTCTCAACTTCACCTGAATTGCAAATGCCTAGCAATAACTCCAGTTAACCAAATTAAATACCTCGGCATTATCTTGGATAAACACCTTAAATTTAGACAACATATTGACACTCTCTCGGGACGCGTTCGTAAACTAATATATGTCTTCAAAAACTTACGACACGTAGCCAATCAAGCGGTTATCCGTAACGTGTATTATGCCCTCTGTCACTCCATAATAATTTATTGTATTCCTTGCTGGGGAGGTGCAGCTAAAACAATTCTAAGACCACTGGAAATAGCTCATCGTGCTATTTTAAAAGTTGCTACATTTAGACCTATTTTATTTCCAACAACCGAGCTTTATAAGAAGTGCAATTTACTCAGTGTGAGACAACTATTTTTATTACACCTAACAGGATTACAACACCGTCTCACACCGCTTTTACCGATTAACAAACGTCGTAAAGACCGAATTTGTTCAATCCCTCCTGCGGGCTCAACTTTCTTTAAAAGATTTTCTTCCTACCTTGGTCCATCTGTTTATAACAAGCTTAATGCAGTGTGCCCTATCTATCATTTGCCCAAACATCTACTGTCAAAGACTGTTAAATCCTACCTCCAAAACCTGAATTATGACGAAACAGAGCAATTCCTAAACGGTTAAGCACAATATATATTATTATTTACACGAAAATTGAAACCAAGTAAGGCCACAAACACCTAACCACACGCATATACACACACGCACTCATACACACATACACTCACGCACACACACACGTACACGCACACACACACACACCCACACACACATGCGCACGCACGCTACGCACACGACATTCACCCCCATATGCGCACTTGAGGGACTGTAACTCCTAAACACAGGCAACTTAGTTGCCTATCTAGGAGAACAGCAATCACTCCAATTAATTATAGCCTAAGTTATATACCTAACTATTATGATAACCTATGTAATGAAACTGTAAAACTTTACTATGAAATAAATGTTATTATTATTATTATTATTTCCCCGAAACGATCACTGTTTGAACAGTTGTAAACATTTACGTGAAGTTAAATTATTATTTTTAATATTCTCAAAAGCCAATTGTTCAATTAGTTTGGTACAACAAACTTTGAACTGTATATTTCAAAGAAAATTATTTGTGACTAGCTGTACTTACCCTGGCGCACCTCGCTATGACACATTGTGGTTGAATTGATGAGAAATGACAGTAACAACACTGAGTCGAATAAATCCTTTAAAAAAAAAGTAGCACCGACTTCAAACAATACTAACAAAGAGCACTAAAAACCTAGAAGCAATAGCGGTTGATTTGTTCTCATATTTTGAATTAAAGA